TGTTTAGATATAACTACTGTTGATGTCTTTGTTCTGTTTAGATATAACTACTGTTGATGTCTTTGTTCTGTTTAAATATAACTATTACTGTTCTGATGTCTTTGTTCTGTTTAGATATAACTACTGTTGATGTCTTTGTCCTGTTTGATATAACTACTGTTGATGTTTTCTTTGTTCTGTTTAGATATAACTACTGTTGATGTCTTTGTCCTGTTTAGATGTCTTTCTTCTGTTTAGATATAATTCTGTTGATGTTTTCTTTGTTCTGTTTAGATACAATTCTGTTGATGTTTTCTTTGTTCTGTTTAGATATAAATACTGTTGATGTCTTTGTTCTGTTTAGGTATAACTACTGTTGATGTCTTTGTTCTGTTTAGATATAACTACTGTTGATGTCTTTGTTCTGTTTAGATATAACTACTGTTGATGTCTTTGTCCTGTTTAGATATAACTACTGTTGATGTCTTTGTTCTGTTTAGATATAACTACTGTTGATGTCTTTGTTCTGTTTAGATATAACTACTGTTGATGTTTTTGTTCTGTTTAGATATAACTACTGTTGATGTCTTCTTTGTCTGTTTAGATATAACTACTGTTGATGTCTGTTTCCTGTTTAGATATAGCTACTGTTGATGTCTTTGTTCTGTTTAGATATAACTACTGTTGATGTTTTCTTTGTTCTGTTTAGATATAACTACTGTTGATGTCTTTGTCCTGTTTAGATATAACTACTGTTGATGTTTTCTTTGTTCTGTTTAGATATAAATGTTTTTTGTTCTGTTTAGATATAAATACTGTTGATGTCTTTGTTCTGTTTAGATATAAATACTGTTGATGTCTTTGTTCTGTTTAGATATAAATACTGTTGATTTCTTTGTTCTGTTTAGATATAACTACTGTTGATGTCTTTACTCTGTTTAGATATAACTACTGTTGATGTCTTCTTTGTTCTGTTTAGATATAACTACTGTTGATGTCTTTGTTCTGTTTAGATATAACTACTGTTGATGTTTTTGTTCTGTTTAGATATAACTACTGTTGATGTCTTTGTTCTGTTTAGATATAACTACTGTTGATGTCTTTGTCCTGTTTAGATATAGCTACTGTTGATGTCTTTGTTCTGTTTAGATATAACTACTGTTGATGTTTTCTTTGTTCTGTTTAGATATAACTACTGTTGATGTCTTTGTCCTGTTTAGATATAACTACTGTTGATGTTTTCTTTGTTCTGTTTAGATACAATTCTGTTGATGTTTTCTTTGTTCTGTTTAGATATAACTACTGTTGATGTCTTTGTTCTGTTTAGATATAACTACTGTTGATGTCTTTGTTCTGTTTAGATATAACTACTGTTGATGTCTTTGTTCTGTTTAGATATAACTACTGTTGATGTCTTTGTCCTGTTTAGATATAACTACTGTTGATGTCTTTGTTCTGTTTAGATATAACTACTGTTGATGTCTTTGTTCTGTTTAGATATAACTACTGTTGATGTTTTTGTTCTGTTTAGATATAACTACTGTTGATGTCTTTGTTCTGTTTAAATATAACTACTGTTGTTGTCTTTGTTCTGTTTAGATATAACTACTGTTGATGTCTTTGTTCTGTTTAGATATAACTACTGTTGTTGTCTTTGTTCTGTTTAGATATAACTACTGTTGTTGTCTTTGTTCTGTTTAGATATAACTACTGTTGATGTCTTCTTTGTCCTGTTTAGATATAGCTACTGTTGATGTCTTTGTTCTGTTTAGATATAAATACTGTTGATGTCTTTGTTCTGTTTAGATATAACTACTGTTGATGTCTTTGTTCTGTTTAGATATAACTACTGTTGATGTTTTCTTTGTTCTGTTTAGATATAACTACTGTTGATGTCTTTGTCCTGTTTAGATATAACTACTGTTGATGTCTTTGTCCTGTTTAGATATAACTACTGTTGATGTTTTCTTTGTTCTGTTTAGATATAACTACTGTTGATGTCTTCTTTGTCCTGTTTAGATATAACTACTGTTGATGTCTTCTTTGTCCTGTTTAGATATAACTACTTTTGATGTCTTTGTTCTGTTTAGATATAACTACTGTTGATGTTTTCTTTGTTCTGTACAGATATAACTACTGTTGATGTCTTTGTCCTGTTTAGATATAACTACTGTTGATGTCTTTGTCCTGTTTAGATATAACTACTGTTGATGTTTTCTTTGTTCTGTTTAGATATAACTACTGTTGATGTCTTTGTCCTGTTTAGATATAACTACTGTTGATGTCTTTCTTCTGTTTAGATATAATTCTGTTGATTAGATATAATTCTGTTGATGTTTTCTTTGTTCTGTTTAGATATAACTACTGTTTAGATATAACTACTGTTGATGTCTTTGTTCTGTTTAGATATAACTACTGTTGATGTCTTTGTCCTGTTTAGATATAACTACTGTTGATGTTTTCTTTGTTCTGTTTAGATATAACTACTGTTGATGTCTTTGTCCTGTTTAGATATAACTACTGTTGATGTCTTTTTTCTGTTTAGATATAATTCTGTTGATGTTTTCTTTGTTCTGTTTAGATACAATTCTGTTGATGTTTTCTTTGTTCTGTTTAGATATAAATACTGTTGATGTCTTTGTTCTGTTTAGATATAACTACTGTTGTTGTCTTTGTTCTGTTTAGATATAACTACTGTTGATGTCTTTGTTCTGTTTAGATATAACTATTGTTGATGTCTTTGTTCTGTTTAGATATAACTATTGTTGATGTCTTTGTTCTGTTTAGATATAACTACTGTTGATGTCTTTGTTCTGTTTAGATATAACTATTGTTGATGTCTTTGTTCTGTTTAGATATAACTACTGTTGATGTCTTTGTTCTGTTTAGATATAACTACTGTTGATGTCTTTGTTCTGTTTAGATATAACTACTGTTGATGTCTTTGTTCTGCTTAGATATAACTTCTGTTGATGTCTTCTTTGTTTGGATTAGGCATGTTAGATTTGTTGATGTCTCTTTGATCTGCTCAGATATAACGTATGATGAGTTCGTCTTTGTTATTTGAAACATGTATGGCTTGACTGCTGTTGTTATTTAAATTTCTGTGTTCAGCCATGACTGCTGTTGACATGTCTGTCTTTTATCTGTTTAGATATGTTGTTCTTGTCTAAATTGTTCTATTCAGAGATGACTATGTTGTTGTTTAAATTGTTCTGTTCAGATATGAATTCTGTTGATGTCTTCTTTGATTTCAACATATGATGCTTCTGGTGTTTCGTTTTGTTTTGTTTTGTTTTGTTTTTTTGTTTTTTGTTTTTTTGTTGTGTTTTTTTTTTTTTTTTTTTTTGTACATCTTCTTTTGCTGATCGTGTACAACCATAATATATTGAGCATTCAGCAAAGGTTACTTGTCTCGAATGTACTAGTATATAGCTGTTGTGTTCTCCTTTGTCATCTCAATACTCAGAATCACAGAAAAAAAAGATTCCAATAACATTTTCTTCATGAAGATTCTCATTAAGGCTTTGGTTTTATTTCAGATTTTCAGATGCTCCACAGTTTGCACAGGTGGGGCCTTTCAATATCCATGATGACATTCCCAAAGATTCGACAAGATTTCCCAGCTAAACAAAATTATCTACATGTACTCTTTCTATTTGATTGCTGATATTTGTACTTAGCCTTATTTTTCTTCCATATTATAGTCATCAGTTTTGCTCGGACTATATCACTTTTCACTGTGCTGAAAATACATGTACCATAACATCTGCAAAGTCAAAGTTCTGACATATCTTGACATGACTGTTGGTGATTTTCATATGTCCATATTTGCAGAGAATAAAGATTTGCGGGGAATACGGACATCCCTTTTACACACCTGTTTGAATTTGGAAACTGTCAATTCTGTTGCACAGTTGTTATGGGTGATGTCATAATTTGTAAAGTATTTTCACAAAGAAGTACCATGTATGCAGTCAAATGTTTTGAAAAAGATAAAATTAGAATACATCGTTGTGTTCCATTCATTAAAAGTATTTAAAATTTGTCTCAGTGAAATTTTCTACACACAACTTTCCTTTCCTGGATCTATCTTTCCGGTATGTTGGGGCAAACATTGTTTAAGTTGACTCTGCCAAGAATTTTACTGATGAATTAAGATATAAATTAGTCTCGTCTGGCTAAGAAACCTTTTTGTGCCAGTACCTACTGACTAACTGGACCACGGTTTATATTTCTCATCCGAAGGACCTTATGTATTAGGACATGGAAATGACTGGAAAATTTTAAGTATGCCATTGAAGCAGAATTTATTCAAAAACTTAAACATGAAAAAAGAAGTTCTTGCTGTGGTCTTCAATCCACATTTATTGATGATTTTTTTTCAATAAATAATATTCATTTTCATTCTTACAATGATCTGATAGATCAATCTGAACTCGAAATGAAGTTCACCACAGAGTCTGACGATCTCTTCCAAATTTGGGTATTTTACTAAAAATGAGCTTATCTGCAAACTAACAACAATTTATGATAAACATGATGATTTTGCATATTTTAAAACGTGCACAGCTGCGACACAGGATACACCCTCAGCTTTTTATACTTTTTATCTCTCAAAAAGAGATGAGTATGCATGAAAAAAATCAAGTCAACCTTGGTATAAAGGTTCTAATAATTTTTTTCCATTTATTATGTTCAAGGTTTATAACTTCTTCCACCTGGGGCTGAATGGTGGGATTTTTTTAAATGCCATTTCCAAAAATTTTCATTTCTAATCCTGGACATCAAGCATTCAAACTGTTCAGATAATTATAAGAAAAACAAAAAGTGGGGGAGGGGTGGGGAAAACAGGACTTTAAAAGAATTTGTTTGGCTGCCCTCCCCCATTCCCCATGCTATGTGTCAGAAATGGACCAAACAGACAGGCAAACAAGTTCAGATCCATAGAAACACCTGCCACCTCCCCAAATGAGATTCTTCATGTATCTCATGTAACTTCATGTATAAAATAAAAACACTTTTTTAAATATTTTAATGTCATTTTATTGTACAAATGATAAGATTTGTTTCAAGAGAAAATATTACTGCTAGCATCATTATATCTACATGGGAAGAATAACAATTTGTAGAAAGACACAATAACCTGGCATAGCAGGATTTGGAATATAATTAATACACAGATAAACAGAGTACATAAAACAACTGGATTTACTTTAACACCTTTACCAGATACACAGGGGATAAATGTGTATAAAAATTGACATCTAATTTAAAATGGTTTTAATCAAATATAAGGTACTTGTTATTTATAATAAATATTGACATAACAAAAAAATTATCTGGTTTTGAATCACTGAGTACTTTTTACACCCACACTTGAGAAGTGTGGGAGTGGTTCTGTTGTGATGGGGGTGTCAATCCGTCCATTACACTTAAACTGATGTGTAAGCTAGAGTATCATTTTATGAGCTAAGTGCTCACCATACCTTTAGTTTTCAAAAAAGCTTTCAGATATGGTTTATCTTAAAGGGCTTTCTATATTAAAACTAACATTAATGACAAGACTCTACTTCTATATTATAATGCCTCTGTCTGTAGTTTCTCAGAATTAGTGTTTCACTTTACTACAATTTTATCAACAATGATGCACTAAATTTTGATAACAAGTACACTGAGACACATGAATAAATTTTGAATGCTTTCATTTCTTGAAATAAAGGTTAGACACAAATAATTTAATGAATGTTAAACTTTGTAGAGTATTCATAGGAAAATAATGCACATCATACTTTTGGATTACCACAAAAGCACAAAAGAAGTCTGAACACAAGAATAGATTATTAATTGGATATTTTCAGCTTTTCACATGTACAGAATACAGAGGGACAACATTCTCTCGAAGAAGTGACAAAAATGACTTAAAATTGACACCATTCCCTTACAGCTAAAACTCTACCTTACTGAGAGGGTAACATTTACTGTAGAGTTATCCTTGTGTGACAGGCAGACAGACAGACAAACTAAAACACAACATAGCAGGACAAACATTGCAGGGATGATTCCATTGCATGGAGGGGGGATTATACATTAAAATCTCACAGTGAATCACCTGTTACAAACCAATGTATGACACTTGGAAAACTTTCCTGAACAAAAGATTTTTTAACAGCTAGAATTAAAAAAAACTAAACTTTGTTGACAAATTATCACAAATTAAGATCTATTTACATTTGATGCCCTTATATAATGCATCATAAGTTATTTATAATAACTAGTAAATATACATGTATATGATAAAAGATTGGTTGTATAAAATGTAACATATGTACCTAATAAGATTGATTTAAATTGGAAGAGAAAAGTTAAAATATCTTCAGATAATTTTTATTACCCCATTTATCTGTTCATTGGTATGCAGATAACTTATTAACTGAGACGTGCCTTACACCTAACTCTGTAATGAAATATTCATACTCAAAAAACTTGGATGCAAAGCTGGCTAGGAAACAATATAATGGCTTGGACAAAAGTTTTCTTTCACTAACACTTTTCAAGCTTGCTTGGAAATGCCCTGCGTTCACAATGAAAGGGTGTGATACAATCAAACACTTAAATGACTAGGAACTGAAGATCACAACCAAGTTAGGTAACTCTGTCAGAACACTCTCTCCAATGGAAGCCATGATGATTGGATGGATCAGTCACATCATAAAATACAGCACTGAAACAAACAGAGTTCTTGTTAATAGTCAGCACACACAGGGTGATGAAAGACCTATACATCTCTGTAATAATTCAGGAGAAATAAAGGTTCTGTGATGTTTTTTTCCAGTTAAAGGGTTTGACTATTTTTTCTCCAACTCAAGTTTTTTGTCAGAAGACACAAGGCATCAAAAATGCAGTTTTAAAATCTTAAAAAGGGTGAAAAATTGGTCTTTATCAAGATAAGAAGCCCTGTTCACAAAAATATAAATTAATTTTCATGCACAGAGAAATCCTACTTTTATGAAGTTTATGATGGCAGACATCAACTTTCCATGCATCAAAACTGATTGCATTTCTATACTTGTTGTTAATATATTTTTTTTTGGTTGCATGTAATAGAAACTTCACTTTATTTATATTTTCACCCAATTTTGAAGGGTTGAAAACTGAGGTAAAATCTAAAGTTCAATCTGTTAGACATGCATTTGCAAAATGCACTTAAAAGGATTTGCTGTAAGAGATTCTTTAGTTTAAATTTTTTCATTTTTATTATGCAAAAACTTCAGATTTGTTGTGAAAAGGTCTACAGGCTTTAGAATCATGAAGCAGATTTGAAAGTAAGTCAATTTTTTATGTTGTCTTCAAGTTTTATAAAATAACAAAATTTGTTTCCCTTTCATGTTGATACTGTTTAACTTTTGTAATATTCATTTTGTCATGCATTATTCGAGATTTGACTCGTCTAACACTTTCATGATCCTGCACTATGGGGGCAACGGTGGGGAATTTTTTTTACTCTAATTTCCGGGACCCCTTAGCAGCAAGTACACATATCTAATTCTCCCTTCATAAATTTTCTTTGAACATGACATTAAGATTATAACAAAAACTATTTTGAAAAAAACAACTAATACTGCAAAAAAAAGAGAAAATTTTCAAAACAACCAAAGAATGTTAAAAACGATTTCCTTTGTGAAAACTTAACTTACAGAGAACAGAATGCTTTCCCTTTTCTGGTACATGTAATGGTTTAAAACTGCACAAAGACAACAATTAGTTCCATGAATAAACTCTCATTGTGTAAAAGCCAGGAAGTCAGAAATTTGGTGACGATGCCATTCTTGATTAGTTTACAGACATTTAGAGTGGGGCTGTTTCTGTTGGATTGGTTTTACAGAACACAGTGTATAAATGCTGGGAAGTATAACACAAACAGAGGAACACTATAGGTACATACCAAGGAGGAGTTTCTCTGAGGAAAAGCATCACAAAATAATTCCCAGATTATGCAACTTTAAAATGCATAGTAATTTGACTTTGCAATAACCAAAGAAAAACTCCTCAATATTGAGGGAATTTTCAACAAGAAAATTGATAACTGCCTCTTAGATAAGTAATAATGTGAAAAATAAAAAATTCTGCCTATAAAGGGTACATATTAACAATAACTGACAAAATGTATACGTACATTATCTTTAGATCTATCCCTAGGTTCTGCCTCTCTCTCCCTCTCTCGTTCCCGGGGACGACCTCTAGCACCCTGAGCAGCTGACCTCTGACCCTGGGGTTGCTGTGGTTGCTGCTGCTGTTGTTGCTGTCTTTGCTGTTGCTCGTTTATGGCTCTCATTGCTTGTTCGTCTTCCTCGGCCTGAAGTTTGGCCGCTAATTCATGGCTGCAATCACACAAAATCAAACCATTTGTATAGTATTTATACAATAAAATACGTTCAAACCAAACCACAATCACACAGTTTTAAAATTTTAAATCTGATATTTAAAGGTGCAGTAAAACAGTTACAGCAAATTAAACGAGTATTAATGAGAGTGAAGGCTTTCAATTGCAGTGTCATGTCAGTCCAACTCAAAGACACTTTTCTTCATGATGCATCTTACTTAATGAGAATAAATTTCATCTCATTTGCTATCTATGACCTTTAATGCTGATTTAATAGTTGTGAATATCCATTCTACCAGCTCATATGATGTTTCTCCAGATAAGCTTATTAAATCAGCAGTAACGATCACAAATACCAAACTAGAAGATAGCTATTCCCTTAAAAATCAATCATTAATGAAGTGAAAAGAAGCAGAAGAAGTTACTTAATTCAACTGTATGTTTTGTTTTAAATTCTATATAGACACATGCAGAGTTCAGTCTAAGCGCTGGATCCCACTTCTGAAATTTCTGGGGTCTGTGTTCAACGTCCTTTTCACAGATTTGTGTCATAAGATTGGTCACCGTTTATTATTTTCAACTTTTTTTCATTTGTGTGAGAAATACTTAAAAGATTGGTATCATTTTAATTAATTTCAAAAGCAACTGAATTTCATTCCCAAATCAAGAGGAATAACTCTTACTCTGACATTTGAACTTGTTGATGTTGTTGTTGACTTTGTTTCCATGCCAACTCTTCATCTGTCATTTGTTGTTCTTGTTGTAATGACATTGCCAATAAGTAGCTGCAAAACAACACAAAAGTTGTCAGATAAAACCAACATTGACAAAAATAATTTATTCTGGTGTACTGTTACATTATAAAAAGTACTATCAATAGTCAAACCTCATTGTCTTGCACTCTATGGGACTAAGAAAAAACTGAAGACTAAATGATTATAAAACAAGAGACCCTTGGGCCACAATGCTCACATGAGAAACCTAAACCCACTGTTCCTTAGAAGATTTTAATTTTTTTGCTTTTTATTTCAATGTAAAATTTTGATAACCTACCATTGTCCCATTGTTTACCAAATGACACATTTGTGTAAAAGTTTCACAGAGGTGGTTTCATATCAAAATGCCTAAAAGTGGACCTTCTTTTCTTTAAAGGATTTTTAAAGTAGGCCTTGCTCATAAAAGTTATCAAAAATATTTTGTCAATTAAGTTACATTGAAGATCTCCCCTTTCCTTGGATCTTGAGAAGAAACTCAAAATGGGAAAATTTTATATATGCAGACAAACTTAATCAATAAAGCTCACTTGAGCCTTTGGTTCTAGCTAAGGCTCTGGTGAGTTAAATTGAGACCTACTCTTGATCCACTTGTTCATCTGACCCCGGGGGGACCTCGGGAGGTACCAGTGTTTCTGTGAGTGGGGTAGGTTTGGTGTAGGTGTGGAACTGGGCATCCACAAAGTACCCGTCCCCCTCCACATTATTCAGGGTCTCCCAAACCACATTCTTCTCATTCAGAAATCCCTGGTCTGTCACCAACAGGAACAACTCATTCTGTAAAGACAACATCTAAGATGTCACCAACAGGAACAACTCATTCTGTAAAGACAACATCTCTAAGTCATCAGCAGGAACAACTCATTCTGTAAAGACAATATCTAAGTCACCAGCAGGAACAACTCATTCTGTAAAGACAATCTCTAAGTCACCAGCAGGAACAACTCATTCTGTAAAGACAATATCTAAGTCACCAGCAGGGACAACTCATTCTGTAAAGACAATATCTAAAATGTCAGCAACAAGACAACATTAAGCCTGTCATAACAAACACATTTCCAGTACAGGTACCACAGAACTTGCAGACTTTGGTCAGATTCAGGCCACAGAAAACAACAGGTCCATCCCATCAATGTACTGATACACATACACAGCTCCTTTGTATTTCATGTTTTAGCTTTGGTTTCAATTTATTCCTTTTTTTTTTTTTGGTATTCTCACAGTCGCACAGTAACTAAGCTGAACACATTTTATTTTTACACCCTCATTATTGATTCAATTTCCCTGAGTACAACCTACTGAATGATGCTATTTTGGATTACAAGTATTCCTGTCTCAGCACCAAATTAAGTCTTCTAAATTAGACAATATCTTATTTTAGTTTTACATTGTCAGCTATAAATCTGTAGTACATGAACATAACATTTATACACTCATAATAGGCTAAAAGGCAAATAAGAGCATTTTACAACTATAAAAGTTATCAAACATTATTAACTTAGTGTAAATCTTTTTTTATTCACAAGATAATCCTCTATGTGACACTGTGTGAGACTGTCATTGCACAAAAATTAATGTTGTTAATAGCTCTCCTCACATGGCCTTGAAATTAAGGCAGTCAAAAATTAAGCCTATTTATACTGCCATTTTACTTTGCAAAATAATTTGGTCCAACACGCTTCGTGCAGATGTCAACTACGAGAGCACCTCAAAGAGGCATAAGACATTTATTGAAATCTATCTTTTTTTCACAATTACGGCAAGAATTTGGAGAAATTAATCCAGAATCAAGCGCAATATTATTACAGTTTCTGATATGGGTGGCACATACTGTAGCTCTCTGGTCATCCATCGAATTTTTCTGACCAGCGAGCTACAGATCTGCAGCTACTTTACGATATACATGTGCTAATATTAAAGTTATTTTAAACTTTAGCATAATATGTCTCTGGAATGACCGAGTCCTCACTTTTAAGTGACATGATTTCTTTTAATTATAAATGTCTAGATCTGTATGGCCTGTTCCTTTTCATCCCAATCTCTGAAGATGCATTTGTACATGCATGGACTAAATCATGACTAAGGAAATTTATACATTTATTTGTAATGTGTAAGTAAAACTGTTAGCAAGATGTACTTCACTCTAACAAAGCCCTAGTGTGGGTTTCCTGCCTTCTTCCTTTGAGGAGCAGCGGGGTAAGAACAACTGAGGCCCACTGAGGGGTAATCAATACAGATTTTATTTAATTACATAAAAAAATCCATTGCTACTTAATTTTTTTTTTACATAACATTTTCCAATTTTATCTGCTTTACAGTGCTATAGATGGATTACTGTTGACCAAGTTTTTATTTTCACTAACAAAGGATATATTTTTAAAAATATTTTTCTTAACATGTAATCAACAAAATGATACTCATGTCACTAACACACAAGCCATCAGCTGATCCTTGATTTCCATTACAAAGACGGGCTTGTTTGATAGACATTATCTAAGTGTGGTGATAAAAATAATACAGTGTACTCCGATTACCGTGGCGACACAGAAGACATGTGATTGGTTCTAAGGAGAGATGAATGAGGTGGATATTACATTTATTGGCTCTCTGGTTCTAACATTGGTTATCATCACCATAAAAACAGGTTAGTGATAGACCCAGTTTATACACGACTTTTCTCTAAATACTATTTTTTTTTCCCTCTTAGTTATTTTTTTTTTATTCTAATTTTGTTTGAGATCATTTACGTATGATATTTGTAAAAACTTCTGCTGCAAAAAAAGCAAATTTAAAATTAAAATAATACCCCCAAAGCTGCCCACTTTGCATCTTCTTATCATGCAGCTTTCATCTTAATATAACTACACATAATTATCATGCCTTGATAACTTAGATACAAGAATTTATAAGTGAGGCTTTCATCTAGAACCTTTTCATTCATACAAGTTTAAAGCATTTTTTTCCGACCAGTGTGAATTACCATATAAGCAGAAATTTTAGCTAGGATCTAATTTTGGCATCGTTAGTGAGGGTACCAAGATCACTAACATTGAATATCGCTAAAATTTTATTGCGCTTTATTTGAAAAAAGTTTATAAAGAGAGCTTATAAAAATAGCTAGAATTATATCTCACTAAAAATAAAATACAAATTTTTAAGGACAAATTGCTAATTTTGCATCTCGCTAAAATTTCCTCTTATACGGTACATATTTTGTGCATATAAGGCTTTAAAATATAAACTGTACATTTTTGTTTTATAATGTTTAAAGAATCTAAACATTTGAAGCATTAGAAACAGATAAACTGCTTCATCCTCCCATCTGAACAGCATCTGTTTTTTCAATTGATGCTAGTACATGCTATGAAGCACTTCTTTTTAAATTCAAATTTAAACATCTGAAATCAAGTCTGCTTGTTCATGAACAGCTTCAACAAAAAAGCTTACAAGAACACTTCCAATATAAAAGATTTCATGATGACCTCTAAAATAACAGCTTTCATGAACACCTCCAACATAAAAGTTTACAAGAACACCTCCAATAAAAAAGCTTTCATGAACACCTCCAACATAAAAATTTACAAGAACACCTCCAACAAAATAGCTTTCATGAACACCTCCAACATGAAAGCTTACATAAACACCTCCTAAATTGAAGGGCTTCCTGGTACATGAACACCTCTATTAAAGGTGCATAGACACAGATTTGAAGTTAATTTTTACCCAAATTTTCTGCACAACATTACTACTTATATATTGCAATAGCATTTCACAAGAAAATATAATTAAAATCTTATTTCATCTCAAAGTTATTGAAACTTCGAATTTCTGGTCGGGTTTGATTGACACGTCCTTGCACTTTCACAAATTATAATTTTATTCTTAATACTTAAGAAAAGTGGCAATTTTGTTGTATATTTATGAAAACTATTAAAAATTTAATCTAGAAAAATCAGAGTAAAAATGTTCGAAAGGTAAACGCACTCACAGTTTATTGTCAGTCTGTGCTCAGTGGTATGTGCAGACTTTAACAACTTGAACACACTTGTGAATCATAAACATAAACAATAACAGAGCTAGTGCGCTGTCTACAAAACCAGTTTATGCTTCACAATTGTATTCAATTTGTTAAACTCTGTACAGAACACTGAAAAGGGAATGACAATACCAGTGAGGGGGTTTTAATTTTGAACATTTTAAACATAAAAGTTTACATGAACATCCCTAACAAAAGAACTTGTTTTTTTGTGCCTATTTCTGACATTGTTTACTGGTCCATTGACTAAAGATATTTCTAGAAATTTTGGAATTCACACGAATAAGTCAAATAAAATGTAAATAGAATGCTGAATTAATGCAGATAAAAAGGTACCTAATATAATATCGACTAGTAAATAATTCTTGAATTCCATTTCAGTTGAGGGTGGTAAATGTTTACAAGATGCACAGCGGCAATGTCAGACAGAATCAGCCGGTCTAATAGAGGCCCAAACAAAAAGATCAGGGGTTTGTGGGTAAGATGGTGTTCTAAAACATACTCAGGTCCATCACATTTGTACATTGTAAATCATTTTAATTCCACCATTTTAAAATTTCATGATTTCTGAAAAAATATAGATCGTGATGGATTTTTGTTTCATCTAATAAAGAAAGAACTTAGGTAATAATTTTATTGTAACTTAATAAAAGCTAAGGATAAAAGATTGCCTACTTCCAAGAGGAAGCAACTACAGGAGTCTTTATTAGAGGAGAGGAACTTTGAGTAATAAATGCAAATGGTTTAAATACCCTGACTGTACAAATGCATTACAGTGTGACCTATTTTCCAGTAGAATGTAACTTTTTCCGTATAAAATGACCTACTTTTCAGTAGAATGTGACCTATTTTTCAGTAGAATATGACCTTTTTTCAGTAGAATGTGACCTATTTTTCAGTAGAATATGACCTATTTTTCAGTGGAATGTGACCTATTTCTCAGTAGAATGTGACCTATTTTTCAGAATATGACCTATATTTTTCAGAATATGACCTATTTTTTTTTCAGTGCATATGCTGACTATGACACCTGCATAAAAACCTCCATCACCAAGCTAGGCTGTTACCTGTCCCCTAATGAAGCAGATCTCTATGAAAAAGATATAACTAATATATACACTGAGTACCCGTATAAGTGTACCAAAACTGCTAGTGGTAAGTAAAAACCTCCATTCACCAAGCTGAGATGTCACCTGAACCTCTGTATACTGAGTAATTTGAAATTCAGATAGATTTCTCAGCGCTCAATTATTTGCTCTGTAATATGCCAATTGGAATTTTAGAAAGTATTGTTCACCACTAAAAAATATTTTTCTTTCTTCCTGGAACAGGTTGGATAGCATCCTACACAGCCCGCTCAGGAGCATCAGGGAGTTTGTCAGTGGTCACAGGGAGTGTGTCAGTCCTGATCAGCTTCACCAATACAATGGGATTTCTCTGTCTCTTACACTGATTCTCATGTTAATTACTTAACACTGTGATATATTATTATTTTTAATTGTTATCATTTTATGTAGATATTGCAATAAAAATAATTCCACAATTAAAATTTCAATTTTTAGTATACACCTGTACATTACTCATAATACTGTAAATCACTTTTTATTCGCGAGAACTTTATTTTCGCGTAATTACGCGAGGCAATGCGTTCGCGAAAATTTAATTCTCGCGTATAAAAGTATTCCTTACGATTATATAGAGGAATAACAACTATTCGTGAAAATTATGTCTCGCTTACAAAAAGTCAATGACAATCTCGCGAAAATAAGGTGTCGCGAAAAATTAGTAATCTACAGTATATAAGTGTAACAAAACAGATAAAACCACCTGCACTGGCAGTTAAAGTAAATACTGAGTATGTGCATGCATAAAATTCCTTTTATTTTACACATGCACGTACATATACTCAATAATTATATTATTTATTTTCGATTTAACTAAACATAGTCAACATACATTGCATACAGCATAACGTTAATACTGAGAACTATAGCTCTCCTGCAAAAATATTTTGACAGACCAGAGGGCTACAGTGCCACCCATTGAAAAAACTGTATATTTATTGCGGACAAAAAAGTGTGCGGTTTCTTGATTTATTTCTCCATATATTTAAATTGTCATCTCAAAATTTCACAGACTGTGTCTTCCTAACATATTTCTACACTACTTCCAAAATAAATCATTCCGAAAAAGTGTTGCTAATAATCTTCCTTGGCCTGAAATTGAGACCATCAAAAATGTCGCCTGTGTATACAATCATTTTGAGTCTAAGGATAATACCATCCAATGTGCTTTGGACGTGACTGGTACATAAAGCTTTGTTGCGGAAGTAGTAAGAAAATATGTTGGAAACTCATGGTTAGTAGCATTTTGATGTATACAGATAAATTATTTGATAAACAGTGCACTTTTTGTTGCGCAATAGATTTACATGTACACTTTTTTTCAGTGGGTGACACTGTAGCTCTCTGGTCGTCCATCCCAATTTTTTAATACCAGTGAGCTACAGATCTGCAGCTAAGAACTAATGTCCTCTGAATATAAAATGTGATTAAATTGTTGTCACTGACCTTTTGTTTATACAAGGTACTGAAATGGTTATTTCTAAAGAACACACAAAGCTGGTCTTCTTTCACGGTTGAGTTGAGTTCATACAGCCCATGGTAAGTCAGCTGTGATGCTGTTCTATCAAGGAAAGACTCTGCCAACAGTGCTAAAATAAAAAAGAATCTTAATAATTAAAAGTATCCTACTGCAGACTTTGATAAAATGTCAAAATTACTTTCTTTCTCAAATTTTCCAATAGAGTTTCGTTGTTAGATGTTGCTAACTTTAGTTTTTTTTTCATCACTTATTACATCTACCATGGATTCTGCATGCACTTTGCCAAAATAGCAGCAAGGGTTTTGATATAACTGCAGGATGCACAACCTTTAGTGAAGCAAATGTTTGTAAAATGTGATACACTGCTTAATCACATGATGATGGATTATAATAAATCATCTCTTAAAAACAACTAAAGAAAATGGTCTTGTATTCTTGCACTTAGGCTATACATGTAACTGGAACATAAAATGGCCAAACTAGTGTGTGATTTTTTCATGAATATATACACTAAGAATTGCATTGTACATTTGGCAAACTTGTATTAATTCATATTACATCAATTCTGTAGAAACATAAATGATCCTGTGAGGACAGGAAATTGTCTCCATGATTTAATTAATCCTGTGTGCTCTCCAGTCTTTTTAAATATTTCCTGATCTACTAGTTCTCACAGAAACCTGAACAATTTTACATTCCCTCGTACTAAGTGTTGAAGTGCCTGAGTATTTATCTAATTATATCGAGATAAGAGACATATTCAACTTCCCTCTCCTACCCATTCATTTTCCTGAGGAACTCTTACAAATGAAGTTTTTATTTTTTTTCTCTTATATCCTAAACACTTTACATTCTTTACTCATTCATAACCTTCAATTTATATTTTTTCCCTTATGATTATTTTTGTTTATTTGTTTGTTGATTTTATTGGGGGGGGGGGATTCTCTTTCGTAATACTATAGAGAGTGTGCTAGAGGAAATTTTAACACTTTCTTTTTCTTCTATCATTATACATGTCATTTTAGAACATTTTACACAAGTCTGCCTGCCTGCATTGCCCCTGTGATTACCTTGGTTCACGAGGTCTGGTCTCTCGGAGCTCCGATCGCTGATAATTTTTTCCACCAGCTGATTATAACTACAGTTACCGATCGCCTCCACCATTCTCATGTCCTGGGGATCAACAAGCCAACCATGGTACAGAGGGATACCCAACAGGTCAAAGATTATACACTCAGGGGTGTACTCAAAATCCTGTATCCTGCAATATATATATTTTTTGATTAAGAAATGAATTTAATTTTTGAAGATTCATGAGGTTATGAACTACGACGCTTCACACCGGCATATTTCATGAATCGCTTTAGCGCTTCATGATAAATATGCCAGCGTGAAGCTTTGTAGTTCATATACCTGATGAATCTTCAAAAATTAAATTCATTTCTTATATTTACATTATTTTTCTGATGACTAGTTATAAATTTACGCCATTCAACTGTCATTTTTAAAGCAAAACAGTGTAGACGCGAAGTGCGGTATTATGACATAACAATGGAGATATTCATTCGTGGTACAAATGTAATGTAGTTCATGAGAAAATGAACTGCATTTTATTTTGTAAAGAATCATACGGGAAATTTATTGGAAATGTAAATATTCAAATATTGACAACATAATCTACATAATAATTTGATAAACCTTATATGCATAAACTTAGAAAATCCACATTTTCTTTAAACATTTCTAATCTGCAGTTGCAAAAAGTGAGATACATTGTACATGTAAAAAACATGAGTAAATCAATTTGAACAACTTTAGTCTGCACTATATCTATGTCATTATAACTTACAAGTGCATATTTAATATAATATGAATCTATTTCTGTCTGTAACCTGTTATAACTACTGAAACTACCAATATAATGACATGCTCTCTGTAACTTGTGTATAACTGACATGACATCATGACTTTTCCTCTCTGTAACTTATGTACAAATTACATGACATCATGACTTTTGCACATAAATGACACAACATGATAATTTTCCCCTCTGTAACTTGTCAAGTGTATATCTGATATGACATCATGACTTTTCTTACCTGTTACTTACGTAAACCTTCTATGACATCATGACTTACCCTGTAAATCTAACATTAACATCTAGTCCTGTCTGTAACTTGTGTATAACTGCCATGGCGTCATGCATGTTCTGCTCAAAATTTAGCTGAACAGCTTCAGTGCCATTCTAAAAATATAAATGTTCTAAATTTAGGTTAATTGTTGTAAAATTCTCTGCAAAAACAATAACACAGATAAACCAAGATGTAATAAATCACACATAAATAAATGTTATTTTACATATATTTTACATATATGACGTGTATAAAATTGATGCAATTTATCATTATATGAAATACTCTGTACATAAGATTTTCTTTATACTCAGTATTTGCAATTTCAACTGTTTTCTCTTTGATAACACTTTGAAAGTTGATTTTTAAACATTTAAAACTGAATGTTGATTTCACAAAGTGAAAGGTCAGGTGACTAATATACATGTCAATTTCAACAGCTGTCACTGTATCTGTGGAAAGTAACCATTGAAATAATCATGGAATGCCATGTGAATTTCATATCTATTAAATAGTATTTGTTATCTAAATTTCGTTCACACATAAATGTAAACATGTAAGGGAATCCCTTGTGTTCTGAACTTGTTTCTTATTGCTACCTGATATTTAACACCTTACCGTAGGTGCGCTGAGGAGGATGCTGTCCCCTAGGTAAGTCATTATCTGCTCTGGAGTGATCACCTCTATCCCAGGCTCAAGCCTAACTTTAGCTTTCAATAACAAGATGTTCATGATAGCTAACAGTGGACAAGGTCCATTTTCATTCTGAGTTATAATGGGAACTTCTATAGATTTAAAACTGGTCCACTTTACGTGATAAACGCTGGGTTCACAGCTATCGTCAACTGGCGTTGCAGTGGCACCGACTGCGGCTTCATTCACGCTGGCAAGGGCAGGCAACTCTACTTTAAGCTTGGTTTGTTCACTGCTTGTCTGACTGGTGTCTGAGGAGTCGTAGGATTCTGTGGTAGTCGTGGTGGTGGTGGACAATTCCGATTTCTCACGGCAGGGTGGCTCCCAGACTTCCCCTTCATTCTCTTCTGGTTCATTTTCTTTGCATTTTTTCGGTTCTGGTTGTGAGCTTTCCATGTCTGACTTTTCTTTTACAAATGCTGTGTGTGGTTTTCCTACTTCTTCCACTACTGAACAAAATCAAATGATTCAATGATATAAAATGTTTCAATGTCTTGCACTGTACCAAAACATGTTTAATGACTCCATAATTTTAATTATGTACTACAATGTAGAAAAATGACATAACAAGACATAGTAAACATAGGCTTTACATAGGAGTTACTGAAAAATCAGCCATGTTGCATCGATTTTGAAAGTGGGGGGGGCAGCCAGAGGAAAATTTTTTTGACTTACCTAAAAAAGTTGACAAGCAAATAAAAAAAAAAAAAAAAAAAAAAGGAAATTGCCCAAACTCAGTGTGCAAATGGAAATGGTGGATCCATCATTTGAGAGGCATGAAAAACCATTAATTACTGGCCTCACCCTGAAGGATCCACTGTCAAACACATTATTCTTTTTACCAGGGATGTTAGGGCTGTCAGAGCATTCTAATCCTTATTTAATCAAATAAATATGTTCTCCCAGACGATAGTCTTGTCCTTCATTTCGGTACAGAACTGATGAATGACTGGATGAATTTATTTCATTAGTTTGGGGGAGGGGGGGGGGCAGTATCAGGATAGTTTACCAACACAACTTTTTTTGGACTGGAATGTAAACAGATGATGACTCATACGTCATCAGACCATGAATGACCCAAAGTCTGTCGCGTCAAATCGGTAGTTTAACCTATTTTACTAACCCTCTCTTTCAACGACAAGTTAAAATGAACAGAATAATAATTGAACCTTGTTTTTGTCCAGTGGTTGCTTCATTTTCCTCAAATTCAGCCAATAAAACCTCGTCAACATCGGGATCTGCATCCGATTCCTCACTGTTTTCGTTAGAACATGGGTCGTTCCCCTCTTTAGATGGGGTAGTCATGTCTAAAGCTTACTTATGTCGTAAAGTCACGATAAGATGTCAAAATAAATGTAAATATGGAAAATTCTTTTTCAAAACAAATCTGTAGTCGCCATTATTTTTATCCGAGCTCTTCTCATTTACTTGCGTGAGACTCCACTGTCGCGTTCAGTAGCGCATTCTCCAGCTGTTCTCCGTCTACATATGGTCCAGAGTTGTCGTTCCCTATACAAAGCTCATTTATTAAAATAACTAAAACATTGAAAATTTGTATTCAAATGCATTAATTTTTTTATTTATCACTAAAATTGATCATCACTTGCATTATTCAGTTTACTAAGGAACCTATAGGCCATATACAATAGTAATAATTTATAATTAAGTCTCTGGTTTAATGAGAGTTTGTTCATAGTTATGTGCTTTAAATTTGTTTAATTAAGAGTTGTTTATATTCTTATGAAGTAGAAATTTATTTAAAACCTCATCCAAGGAACGGGAAAAAACTCTTGCTGTACGTGTCTTTCAGTTTAGAATTTAGATATATACTGGCGAGGATCCACGAATTTTTCGGATGTGGCATCCCAGTCAAAAAAAAATAATAATAATTAGGCCTATAATCTCACAAAGTAATTTCTCCAAATAAAAAAATATCAACTTCCTCAAACGTGGAAAAACGTATTTCGTCACGGCAGGGACCTATATACTAACGGGATATGCAACTCCTTCATCGCCATGTTTATCTACCCAAAACATCACGCAAAACAAAACACTACAAGTTTTTCAATTCACGTTTAAGACCGCGGAACATTAACTGGCAAAATTGGAAATATACAGCTTACGTCATTTCTATCTGTTACAATCAAAACATTCAGTGATAGACAGCGTAAGGATGTTTTGGAAAACATCGGATTATTTCGAAATTCATTTTCAATCCACCTCAGCTACGCTACAATTCGACGCGGACGTTTGGAAAACATATTGAAATTCTTTTTCAATTCGAAGGCACATTACTGATTGACCCAAAAGACAGAATAATTTTAATTTTGGTCTAGTTTGAAGATAATTAATACAAATCAGAATTTTCTTCAATAAATTTTATATTTTATTTCTGCAGGGGGCTTACAATTTAAATAAATTTTTCAGTGAGAATAAGTGTAAAACTCATGCACTCTAATAATCCTAGAAATAAAATCTGTTGTCATGTAAACATTACATGTAAGTCGTGACCTGACTCGACAATTTTTACCCCCCCCAGCTTGGAATCAAATATCTCCTGAAAAATAATCTTTGTCTTCTATCATCTTTCGTCCCTAAAAATTATAAGCTAAAACTCGTATTAATGTGAACTTCAAACAAAATGTATTCGGGAGTTGAAAATAGTTGATTTTTGGATCATATATTCACTCTTAGCTTTGGGGGGGAAAATGAATTTCAATGCAATTTCAATCCGATGTTTTAGGTGTGGTTTAATATATGCAATTTCAACATGTTTTTTCCGCGTCGAATTGTACCCGCCCATTACGCTGTCTATCACTGAGTGTTTTGATTGTAACAGATAGAAATGACGTAAGCTGTATATTTCCAATTTTGCCAGTTAATGTTCCGCGGTCTTATACCCAGTAAACAGGATGTTTTCTGATTATTATCATTTTTATTCCTTTTATGTATTGGAATTGATTTATTAATAAATTTTAAAGCATAATAAAAGTTAGTATATAGGTCCCTGGTCACGGTCTCTATGGAGGGGGGGGGGGGGTTCAATGTCACGTTAGGTTGGTTTAATATATGAACATTTTATAACTTCGCAAATTCTGGGGGGGGGGGTCCCCCCCCCCCCCCCGGATGTCTTTCCACTTAGTCAACATTTTGATTAAAAAAAAACGTAAGTCTGTGTTGGCTAAGTGGGAATGGGATGCAATTGGCGAACAAAAGAAGTAAATTACAGGTAAACTTTTCCTTCGTCATCTTCCTTTGAATTGTTTATTTAGCATATACATTCCAAAAACAACATGATCACATGTATATGGTATGTAATTTATACATAAAAAAAAACAATTCAAAATGCACGATCAACTTTCAAAACAAGCTACTTATAAATAAGTTGATGTTACATGATTTCAGCAACCATATCATGAAGTTGATTTTTTGCCGATTCTCAATGCGGATGTTATAATGTTCTGGTTTGTAAAATAAATACAGCCTTTTTTCTTGTATTTTCTCTGAAATGTTTCAAGACATTTGTAAGGTTTTTGCTTTTCTACTTAAGACTACTGACACTACTACTCATTCTACCATGCAGATCATTACGTAGAACTAACGGCAGAAGTTAACGGTCAACAGGGAATGCTAGCCCCTTTTAGACATCCGATTCCACCTTAAGGTGTTTCCATGAACAGTTTTGCTCTGTAGGCAACGTTATCCTCACCTTTTTTTCACATTCATTTTTTTGTAATGTTTTTTTAATTTAATTTGTACATGCTTCTTTATTTTTTTTTTTTTTTTTTTTTTTTTTTTTGAATGTTGTAAAAATATATTTTCATTTTAACATCATAAATTACATATGTGACACTTTTACAGTTTTTCTCTCGGTTTCGTCTTTCTGTATGCTTACTATAAACCTAACGCACCGTGATCTGTGGGAATAACTTGCGTGAAACTCTACAGAAATTCCCTGGGGCACCTAGAGGTTGTGAAAGAAAAATTCTCATGATTGAATGCCTACAACATTTTCTTTTATTACATTTTATGCATAATAAATAAAATAAATCATGTATTAATTTATATGTGCAGGCCCGATTCACTAAATCACAATGATGTTTATTTTTGTTGTGTGTTATGAGGGAAACTGAGGGGCAACTAAAGTTTCATACAGGAATCGCCATCTTGTAAGAGTTCCCAAACTTTCTTTATTTTTTGATCGGTATAGTTATAACATCGGCGAAGATTTTGTCTTTTGGTGTCTTAAGGAAGGATTTTAAAACTTTTGCAAGCTAAACTGGGATGATTCAGCTGAAATTAATGGCGTTATTTATCAAAGCATAGTCTGTGCCTCTAACGAAGTTATCCCAATATATATAGGTCAAACAGGGAGCCGCGAATCCAGATCCAGCGAGGAGTCCTTTATTTAGTGTACAAAGGTAAGGTAATTTAAAAATGACGATTTTATACTTTGAAAAAATTCTCTTTTACATATGAAATCGGATATGATGCCTTGTAAATGCAAGCATGCCATGCTTTTAATAACGTGGCACAGACACATCGAGCTTACCAAATCTGAAACCAAGTAAAACATTTGCATGTTTTTATTTAAAATCTTTTTTTTTCCTACCAAAATTATATTTCTTTAAAAAATTAGTTTATTCTGGATAATATGGGGAAAAATCCGAGACAGGTCCCTCACTTGTTGATATTTACTGATTGATCATAATACAGAACAGCATCGAGCAGTTGGTATACGTGATATTTTCTGTCCGAATCTGAAACGATATAATCCCCGACAGCAGGAATGCAGGAGACTGTCGCGATTGAAATGAAAGTCGTGGGAACACCTGCTTTGTGGTGAAAAGATTGACCAATCACTACAACCATAGCAAAAATCTTCGCTGTTCCATTAATCGTGTTAAAATCTTGAAGCCTTGAAATATAATGCGTAAATAAGTAAAATCACACAGTTAATATTAGTGTGATGGAAATAAAGGTTAGAGCCATCTTTAAGAAAAATGTGAAGTATTTAATATTGGTTTATGAATTCAAAATTGGAAATAAATAGTCTGTTCAGCCCTTAGAAATATGTTAACTGAATGGGGAGGTGATTGGAAGAGCTATTAACTATTGTTCTCACGGTGTCCAAATGCAAATGTGAATTTCCCACGGGTCTGGCTTACGTTACAACTGTTATATTCCCATCGTAGTGATGAAATGAAATCTAATTAACATACAGAAAGGAGAATAATTTAAACTTAAAAAAGGACTTATACGTGCACTGGGCGAAGGGAGATGAAGTGTGTCAAACTGTTTATGTTCTATACTGGATAATGACTTACAGTGTGTGTCATTTGTGAACTATTTAGTGGGGGATTGATACATGAATTATATATTTTCAATTATTTGACAATGAATTAAAAGACAATGAATGAACAGCATTTATATGTTTCCCAGGTAGGTTTTTAAAAAATACTTATTACCAGATAATATATTTAAAAATTCTTTTGTAGTAAATAAATACCTTATCAGAGACCTATATACTAACTGTTAGGTCCCTGCATAGCCTTACATAAAGACTATGCATTGTCAAAAGTGTAAAATGGGGATCATCAAAGTGTTTTGCTCATAATTTCCTTCCTGGGTTGGTGTAAAACGGATAGACTCTTAAATATTGGAACAAATTTCACAAGTTTAAACAATATCAGGAGCGTGGGAAATATGTCGGTGTTTGTTCAGCAGTGAAACTCGAGATCTGAACAGTTCAGATAACTTTAAAACATTCCTATTTGTTTTCAGCAGTACACCCAAATCTCTGATAGCTTGTTTATGGTTTTAAATTTTTTCACACCAAACAGAAGATTAAAATTTTATAGTAAATTCTTGATATCAAATACAATTTTACTTTTAATCAAAGATTAAAGCTTTAAGTTTAATAGATGGGTGTGAATACTATGTTAATGTTTTCTCAGTTTTTTGTCAAACTTAATACTTTGTAGATTTTCTTATGGATTGCTGGAAAGTTTGAGATGAATATATATTTGGTATTTTAATTAGAATTTTATTTTCACATTTTGATTTTTTTTAAAACTAAAAAGCAACTTGTCTTCAGCTACTTTACAAGCAGGAGTCCTTATATAAGACGCTCTCTGACTAAATGAACTCATTAATCATGTCAATTGTCTTGTTCAGTGGGCAGTTATCTAGAGGTTCACAAGTTTACAAATGTACTTGTCTATTTTATACTGACCTTGTAATAGAGATCCTAATGGAGTCCAAGTGTAGGTCACATAAAAAAAATGAAAACTATTTTTTCCACCTTTTCAAACATTGTATGATAAGCTTATACATACATGTACTATAAATAGCATACTGAAAAAGAAATTTTCCTTTAATTAATATCTTGAGAAAATGTACGGAGAATTTCCCATGCAGACCTTTTGTTTGTTCCTCTCTCTGTCACCTCTGCAACTCATGTCAAGATTTGTTAGTTGTTACAGAATTGAAAAAGAAGATAAGTACAAGGATTATTTAAATTTTATCTGTAGTTCAAGATTAAATTTATGAAAGATTGAAGGATAAGCAATAATTACATGCAATGAATTCAAATAATTGCACTTTGGACAAATTTTCATGGAAATTTTGCCAGTGTAGTGTACACACATGCAGTTTAAACCACATGGAAAGAAGTACCTATAGATGTACTAGCTACTTTATCCTGTATATATTTAAATTTTTCAATAATTTTATTTGCTTTTCCTTTTATATATTAACATAAAAATTATTAATCTGTTTGAAATTAGTTGATTTGTTTTTAATCTTGAAGAAAATTGATGTACAAAATTATATATAATCGTTGAGACTCCACTCTATCAGTATCAAATTTTCTTTGTAATTTATTCATGATGAAATAATTTTGAAACTTGTGGGAAATAAGAATAATGTAAACAAATCAAATATGAAGGATTATTTTTCTAATAATTTAAAAGAGAGAAAAGACTCAAATTTCAAGTCAGTCGGAGTCATGAACAATATTGGTACCGGTACTGTTATTTTATTACTCAAGTCAGAGAATGAGATATGTTTTGTAACCAAATATATATGTTTTTAAAATTCATTTTGCTCCTAAATTCACTTTAATTTTTATATACATGTATTACATCAAACCTTTGAGTGAACTGAAAGGAAAATGCTTGAAAAATTATCAATGCATTTATCTTCAACTTTTTAATTTTAACTAGTAGGTCAATGAATTTTATTTAATGTTTATATGTTCATGTAATTGTACTTTCATTTCATGAAATTAGTATAATATCCTAATTTTGAAAAAATATGTGTATGATTTAGGGGGAAAATGCGAGAAGAGAGCATTTTATAGTATTATACTGTTGTGTTTCCTCGGAAGTTGACATAGCGAGGAAAGTTTTAGTTTATTGTTACCAAGAACTAGAGGATGTAGTCAAAGAGGTCAATGAGTTTGAAAATCATCAAGTATGAGTTTATATTTGATAGAATCAAATTTTCAATTTATATGTTACAAGAAGGTTCAGTCTCTACTTTTCAATAATGACCAGAAAGAAAAAAATGAATACAAATGAAATACTGATAAAATTCCTAAACAGTTATAAAAATGCAGCAGAAATTGGAACATTATATACCAGTACTTGAACATGTTGAATGAATAGGATAAAAAGTAAGAAATTACTAAGAAAACTACTACCGTAATTACAGAACTTTGAAATTGGAAGGAATATATTATATAAGTTAAAATTTATGTATTTATTAAAAGTTTAGTATTAGTAAGTTTTTATCAGTTGGTAATTAATCTAGAACATAATGAGCTAGAATATTATAAATTGAAAGTTACACTTGATGGTATGAAGTTCAGACTAAGATATGAACACTGGAATGAGGACATTGGACAAATGAAGCCCCTGCATAATTAGCAGCAGATGTTGCACTCTGAACCAGTTTATGAATAGGAGTAAACATATATTGCTGATTTATTCAGGTCCTCTTTGCATTTTCTTAAGCGTCAGTGGTGTCATTTTTGATAACATGCCATGATAAAGCATTGCATCGGTTGTCAACACTCTTTGATTTCTGTGAGAGGGGGAAAACAGGGGAGTGTGTGAATTTTAAGTAGATCCGTGACCCAATTCAGGGTTAATCGGAATTCACAATGCACATTCGCTTGCTTCTCAGATCTCCGTACTGTGAATTGTGTAGCCGTCAGACAGCTGCAAGGAGAGAAAAAAGGACATATACTGTGACATTTTTATTTATAGAATTCATAAAGTTGGAATCTGTAATAAAAATAAATGGAAGGGGGGTGGGTTATTATTGGGAATTGTTACCGTTAGATGCTACCAGACTTGCTGGATGCTGTATTTTGAAGTACTGGTGTCTCACTGTTGATTTACAACCTGCTGATTGCATTCTGCTGCCGTCTAAGCTCATAAATGTCAAGACTGATGCAGAATACATCAGTAATAGGGTAGCATTGCTGCACTTGGAAACTCTTTTGGCGGCACATCAAACACTGCGCCGTGGGGCTGTCTGAAGAAAAGCTGAACACAAAACAATGTATTTGGCCCTAGTTTCTGACTTCTGCACTCTCATGGAAGGCAGCTTGATTGAGAGTTTTATCAGAAAATAGAAATATTGTAATTGATTTATTCAGTTTATGAAATGAAGTTCATAAAATCTAGAATCAAAGTAGCATAATCAGAAATTTAATGTAAGGGTGAAAGAAGGGAGCTGTAGATTCATAAAATTTTAAAAGCATTTTTCTGTCACCTGAGTAAACTCAGGTGACCTATTTCTATCCGTTTTCGTCTGTCATATTGTGCGTCGTCCGTCGTGTGTTAACATTTGAACATTTTCAGCTTCTTCTTTGCAACCGCTCAACCAATTTCAACCAAATTTAACATAAAGCATTTATGGGTGAAGGGGAACAAAAATTTTGAATTTCATGGTCCTTGCCCCCCTGGGGCCTGAGGGGTGGGGCTAAAACCACTAAAATTAATGCAGTCTTTAAAAATCTTCTTTACTCCTGGACATCAAGCAGTCAAACTGTTTGCATGATTGTAATCAGCATTGAGTCCTCTACCAAAATTACGAAATTCATGGCCCTGGGGTCAGGGGTTCTAGTGCTAGGGTGGGGTTATATAGATTATATAATGAAAATACATTATTTCTTTGAAAATCTTCTTCTCTGCTTCTGGGTATTTAATAAACAAACCAAATACATAGTTATGTTGAATAATGCTGCCTCTTCCAAATTTGTGAATTTCATGGCCCCTGCCCCCCTGGGGCCTGAGGGGTGGGGCCAAAACCACTAAAATTAATGCAATCTTTAAAAATCTTATTTTTTACTCCTGAACATCAAGCAGTCAAACTGTTTGCATGATTGTAATAAGTATTGAGTCCTCTACCAAAATTGTGAAATTCATGGCCCCGGCATCAGGGTTCTCAGGTGCTAGGGCGGGGCTATATAGATTATATAGTGAAAAAGCATTATTTCTTTGAAAATCTTCATCTCTGCTCATTGGCATTAGATAAACAAACCAAGTGCATAGTTTTGTTGAATAAGGTAGCCTCTTCCAAAATTGTGAATTTCATGGCACTGGGGTCAGAGGTTCTTAGGTGCTAGGGTGGGGCTATATAGATTATATAGTAAAAAAGCATTATTTGTTTGAAAATCTTCTTTTCTGCTCCTGGGTATTTAATTAAGTATGAAAGTTGTTTCGTGATACTCAGGTGACCTATAAGGCCCGTGGGCCTCTTGTAATTCTAATAAAATTTTCAACAATCTGATATGTGATGTGCTTTGCAAAGTAGTGACAGTATATTTTCCCTTTGTAGAATGGTTATACCTATAATGTGTATTACCTTTGTAGAATGGTTATTCCAACAGTGTGTTTTCCCTTTGTAGAATGGTTATACCTACAGTGTGTTTTCCCTTTGTAGAATGGTTATACCTATATATGGTTATACCTACCACTATACCTAGTGTGTGTATTCCCTTTGTAGAATGGTTATACCTATAGTGTGTTTTCCTTTGTAGAATGGTTATACCTACAGTATGTTTTACCTTTGTAGAATGATTATACCTATCGTGTGTTTTCCTTTGTAGAATGGTTATACCTACAGTGTGTTTTCCCTTTGTGCAATGGTTATACCTATAGCGTGTTTTCCCTATGTAGAATGGTTATGTCTATAGTGTGTTTTCCCTTTGTGGAATGGTTATACCTATAGTGTGTTTTCCCTTTGTAGAATGGTTATACCTACAGTATGTTTTCCCTTTGTAGAATGGTTATACCTATAGTGTGTTTTCCTTTGTAGAATGGTTATACCTATAGTGTGTTTTCCCTTTGTGGGATGGTTATACCTATAGTGTGTTTTACCTTTGTGGAATGGTTATGCATACAGTGTGTTTTCCCTTTCTTTGTGGAATGGTTATTCATACAGTGTGTTTTCCCTTTGTAGAATGGTTATACCTACAGTGTGTTTTCCCTTTTTGAAATGGTTATACATGAATGGTTATACCTACAGTGTTTTCCCATTGTAGAATGGTTATATCTATAGTGTGTTTTCCCTTTGTAGAATGGTTATACCTACAGTATGTTTTCCCTTTGTAGAATGGTTATACATATAGTGTGTTTTCCCTTTGTAGAATGGTTATACCTATAGTGTGTTTTCCTTTGTAGAATGGTTATACCTATAGTGTGTTTTCCGTTGTAGAATGGTTATACCTATAGTGTGTTTTCCCTTTGTAGAATGGTTATACCTATAGTGTGTTTTCCTTTGTAGAATGGTTATATCTATAGTGTGTTTTCCCTTTGTAGAATGGTTATACCTACAGTATGTTTTCCCTTTGTAGAATGGTTATACCTATAGTGTGTTTTCCCTTTGTAGAATGGTTATACCTATAGTGTGTTTTCCCTTTGTAGAATGGTTATACCTATAGTGTGTTTTCCTTTGTAGAATGGTTATACCTGTAGTGTGTTTTCCCTTTGTAGAATGGTTATACCTGTAGAATGGTTATACCTATAGTGTGTTTTCCCTTTGTAGAATGGTTATACCTACAGTATGTTTTCCCTTTGTAGAATGGTTATACATATAGTGTGTTTTCCCTTTGTAGAATGGTTATACCTATAGTGTGTTTTCCTTTGTAGAATGGTTATACCTATAGTGTGTTTTCCTTTGTAGAATGGTTATACCTATAGTGTGTTTTCCCTTTGTAGAATGGTTATACCTATAGTGTGTTTTCCTTTGTAGAATGGTTATATCTATAGTGTGTTTTCCCTTTGTAGAATGGTTATACCTACAGTATGTTTTCCCTTTGTAGAATGGTTATACCTATAGTGTGTTTTCCCTTTGTAGAATGGTTATACCTATAGTGTGTTTTCCCTTTGTGGAATGGTTATAACTACAGCGTGTTTTCCCTTTGTAGAATGGTTATACCTATAGTGTGTTTTCCCTTTGTAGAATGGTTATACAAGGGGCATTTCAAAAGTTCTGGCAACTGTTTCATAGAAGATTAACCGTTTTACGGAAATTATTGAGTTTGATATCATTGGAAAGTATTGTGACATCACTTTATAATTTTTATGACGTAATAACTCCGAAAATGACGTCAGAATATAGAATTTATAGCATACTGACCATAAAAATGATGTAACAAAAGACACAATTTGATAAAATTAAAATTTTCAAGACAACTTTTGCTCATTACTCGGACGCAAGCTAACGGACGCAAATGCCATTTTGTGGAACGTTTACATAGAGACTACAATCTATCATATGGTATTTTATTTCGAAGATCTTGTTCTGAAATGGTTTTAGCGAGTGTCAAACTTAGCATGGTTTTATCGAATCTCACTCAAACTTTTGCGTTAAAGAGACCTAAATGTGAGAAAAAGACAGAGTTGACAATCAAAGAAAAATAGGCGATCGTGTTACAAAATTTGATGGCATAAATTCACCAGGTGTTTTTACCAGATTTGTGGTATCGATGAAGGCTTAAGAGTAGTTAAGTTTAGTGTGCCCCATATTTTGTCGTAAAATCCAAAATGGCGGCAGCGCAGTTGTAACCCAACCGTACCTCCACATATTCGCAAATTTTAATGTATGGAAAATGAATAAGACTTTACATGTCTGACTAACTTATATTCATTTTTTGGATTCAAAAGTCAACAGCAGTAGTGAGTTTTGGGGCGCCGAAGTTGAATTTGTATGAAAAAATAGGCACAGAATCAAGTCGGGGACAAGATTTAGTACATTTTATTCGTAAACGGTAAGAGTCCTGTTACTCAAAATATATTTCATGAAAACTGCATTAATATACTTCAGTTTAATACAGAACATGTTTTATTTCAAACAATGGAGAGCTATATAAAAGACCGAAAATCCAGCCGTATCATGTAAATAAAAATCTTAAATGAATGTTTATGATAGCATAACCGGACATAAACCGTGCTCGTAAACAAACCATACAATGAATAATGGAATTGCTGATAAACAGTATCATAGTCCTACTCTACCTCTTTGCAAATTAAAATTTTCTTTGAAATATTTTTTCAAATAAGCCTTTGGCAGCACTTTTACGATCGTCTCATGTGGATAAAAATGCAACTTTTCAGTATGCTAAACATTCTATATTCTGACATCATTTTCGGAGTTACTACATCATAAAAATTATAGAGTGATGTCACAATATGTGTATATTTTTCTGATCTTTCCAATGATATCAAACTCAAAAATTTCCGTAAAACGGTTTACTTTTTATTAAACAGTTGCCAGAAATTTTGAAATGCCCCTCGTACCTATAGTGATTTTTCCCTTTGTAGAATTGTTATACCTATAGTTTGTTTTCCCTTTGTAGAATTATAGTGTGTTTTCCCTTTGTAGAATGGTTATACCTATAGTGTGTTTTCCCTTTGTAGAATGGTTATACCTACAGTGTGTTTTCCTTTTGTAGAATGGTTATACCTATAGTGTGTTTTCCCTTTGTAGAATGGTTATACCTATAGTGTGTTTTCCCTTTGTAGAATGGTTATACCTACAGTGTGTTTTCCCTTCGTAGAATGGTTATACCTATATATGGTTATACCTACCACTATACCTAGTGTGTGTTTTCCCTTTGTAGAATGGTTATACTTATAGTGTGTTTTCCTTTGTAGAATGGTTATACCTACAGTGTGTTTTCCCTTTGTAGAATGGTTATACCTACAGTGTGGGGCCAGCACAGACTGACCACCTCATGAGTTGCTCCCAGCCCCAACAAAATGGTCCCCATAGCAACCACAGCTTCATGCATCACAACAGTAATGCTGGATTCACCCTCCACCCTCCTACGGAGCGATCCTACGCCGGCCGACCCGACCCAGGTCCATCCTCAAGGTCAGATCTAAGTGGTCACATGGCACACAGCAGCTATGAGAATCCGATGGACTTGTCCAGCAACAAACCAGGAAATTCTGGCCGACATGTCAAGGAAGAGGGTCGTCACCATGGCTACATGGCTGGTATGGGAACCACCCCTGTATCTGTTGGAATCCCAGAACACCTTCATGGTTTGTTTTTTTAAATGCTAAAAATCTCCTTGAATCAGTACAAAGTTTATTTTAGTTTAATGTAATGAGACAAGGTCAAAGGAAATGAGGTACTTCAAGGTCACATACAAAAGTCTAGAATGCAGAAGGTGGTGTTAGTGAAAAAAAAAAACATGTAACAGTCCATCTAAGAATAAAGTGTCAAGATTTTTATAAAATGGGAGTTTCTTTTCCGTACCTTCTAATAGGATATAGTTAATTTTTTATGACACATTTATTACCAGGGCTGACTTCGTGTTTAACTGTATCCAATGCTAGTACTAATGGCAGACATGGATTAAGATTTATTGGAGTCGGGAGAGGGTTTTTTAATGGTCCCTGATCTGTTCTCTACCTGAGAGGATGGGAATTATGGGACGCGTACAGGTGTTAGCAGATTATAAATAATCAGCAGATAAACCCAACTGTAGCCCTGATAACAGGCAGGATAGTGTAGTCCAAAAGTCTCAAGGTTCTGTCCAGTTCAGTTTTTTGTGAAATGAATTTTTTCACACTGATGTCAATGGTATTTTTAATTTGTGAATGGAATAGAATGTTAAGTATATCAATGTTTTAATAAATTAACACAGAACATCTATTTGAGATAGTTTCTGGCAGAGTCCAGTACAATATGGCTCTTTGAATTCTATATACACATATCAATAGAATGGAGGTGATTTTGAACAAAGCTGTACTTTTGGAAATCACAAATTATTGATGATAAAGAATATTCTCTCTCCATATCTTTCAAACAATGGTCTGATGGTTTATTGGAGGAAATTAGCTCATTTATTACAATGGAATCACCTAATTATTTGTTTGATGAATTTTCAAACTACATGTTGGTTGGTAAGGATATTTTTAAGAATGAAGATGACAGAAGAGGTAGAAAATTCAAAGAAACAAAATTTTAAATCCTCTATTTCATTTTAAGTTCTTTTAATACTGGTATGTCTGTTAAGATATTTTTAAAGATATCAGGAAAGTTTATTTTAGAGGCCTGTAGTTAGTAAATAATAATAGATTAATCAAGTATTCAAAATGCATGATTTTAGTATATTTTAAAAAGATATATATTTATTTTTAAAAATATTTTTATATTACACATATATAATTATCCTGTTATTTTTATGCCCCCCTTCGAAGAAGGGAGGGCATATTCCGTCGGTCCGTCGGTCTGTCGGTCCATTCAGTTTCCGTTCATTTTCTTCATAACCGTTGCACATACTGAAATGAAATTTGGTATACAGATATATCACATGAATATCTAGGCCAAGTTTTGTTTTTATCGCACCATTTTTGACAGAGTAATGCCCCTTGGACTTAGAAAAATTTCAATTATTTGCAGTTTCCGCTCATTTTCTTTGCAACCGTTGCACATACTGAAATCAAATTTGGTATACAGATATATCACATGAATATCTAGGCCAGGTCTTGTTTTGGGTACGATTGCACCATTTTTGACAGAGTTATGCCCCTTGGACTTGGAAAAATTTCAATTATTTGCAGTTTCCGCTCATTTTCTTTGCAACCGTTGCACATACTGAAATCAAATTTGGTATACAGATATATCACATGAATATCTAGGCCAAGTTCTGTTTTGGGTACGATTGCACCATTTTTGACAAAGTTATGCCCCTTATTCTTGGAAAAATTTCAATTATTTGCAGTTTCCGCTCATTTTCTTTGCAACCGTTGCACATGCTGAAATCAAATTTGGTATACAGATATATCACATGAATATCTAGGTTAAGTTCTGTTTTGGGTATGATCGCACCATTTTTTACAAAGTTATGCCCCTTGGATTTTGAAAAAATTCAATTATTTGCAGTTACTGTTCATTTTCTTTGCAACCGTTGCACATACTGAGATGAAATTTAATATACAGATTAATCAGATGAATATCTAGGTCAAGTTCTGTTTTTGGTACAATCGTGCCATTTTTATATATAAAAAAATTCCAATTTGGGGGTAGGGGGGCATAAGTGTTTTACAAACATCTCTTGTTAATACAATTTCTTTGAGAATAATTGAGTGAAGACTGTATATTGTTTTCATATATATATATATCTTTATTTTAAAAAAGCTTCTCCTTATTCATCTGATTTCAAACAATTAAATCACTGTAAAAAAAAATATTTGAAATAGGTGTATATTTTATGTTTTATTCAAACGGTGACCTTTGACCTTGGTTTGACAGACCCGTCACACATTGTTGCTGGTTCCCTGACCCCACCAGAGAAGATCAATGGAGACCCATGTACCATGGCAACCAGCAGTCCCCTGAGCATCGCCACGGTAACACAGGCTATCCCAGCACCCCCCAGTCCCATCTCCACTCCGTCCCCACTCTACGCCACCAACAGCTTCGTGGACAGAAAGTGAGTAACATTCAGACAGACAAGCTCTAGCATGGTTCTTAGTCTGAGATAAAGTGAGCTGGAACTAAAAAGAGATATGCTTATTAATATAAAAGTTGGTAAGCATTCTCCATGAAAATGTTAATAAAACTTGTATCCAAGAGAAGAAACCGCTGACTTGTCTAAAATGCTTGCAAATATCAGTAGTTAACTCTTCAGAAGTTTTCAAGCTGAATTGTTAAAATCAATTGAAATCGTAGATATTTTGTAATACATGTAGTTGATAACTGGATGAGAAAAACCTGAAAGGACTGATAAAAAAATTCCAAGAAGTTTAAAAAAAAATTGAATCAGGCCATTTTAACTATTTGGTTTGGAAAAGGCAAATGGACAATTTTTTTAAAGATGGCCAAACTGTATATCAAGGAATTTACAAGTTCATTTACTCATGTAAAATAGAGCAATAAACAGGAGGGGATCTATTTTTTAATTCTGAGTTTTAACACCAAATTGCATTCATCCCTGTTCAGTATTCATTTATGCAGTATTAAAATTTTGTCAGTCATTTTATTTTTTGTCAAATGTCACAGTTAAACTAAAACTGCCAATTTATTTATAAGACATTCCCTGGATTTGGAGGAAGTGTCATATTTAAATTATTTTCTCGTTTGTGAAGGCATCTGTAAGAACTAACAATTGTAAGCCCTACTGATCATGCTGATGATAAGATAAAATACCCGGGCACTGCCCCCATAGTCTAATGTCTCATTATACAGCATAAATTTGTAAATTTACATTATCCAAAAAATGATGACTGAATTTCTGAATGACTTCAATATCAGCAGCTCTCATAAATCTGATGAAATGCCATTTATTTTGCACTTAAATGCATTTTTGCACTACATCTAAGATTTCGGTGATAATAAATAAGCTTTTTGCATAAAACTTCAGACGCTTAATGCATGTATCAAATCAGCTCAAAGAGGGAAATCTTGAACAGACTGTCAAGGGAATTTATTTATGAAATTAAAATCTGAATAATTACATGTATGTCAGGTCACAGTAATAATAGTGATTGGCAACCTCGTTTTAGACACATTGTCATGTGAAGAAATTACTCAGCAAACTCGACTCTAACCCAGTTTTATGCTTGTTAAATAGAAATTTTTGATTTTCCATATTGTAAATATTCTGAGCTTTTAAATGTCTAACAAAGACCGCTAGAAGGAAAAATTATACCAGCTATTATATTGCAATCCTTTGTGAATGAAACTTAAAGATTACGAGATTTTAATGAAAGGAATGGGTTTAAGTTAAAAAACTTTAATATGGGAAATAATCGGGTCATTTCCAGGTTAATGTATGCACTGCTTATTTACCTGAGTAAATTCAGGTATAGAATCTGAGCGGGCATTAATTCTGCGGTGACAGTGATGTTTTTTCTTGAGTCACTTTACACAGACAATGGAGGAATGACACTATATCTTTATATTTAAGAATTTGCAGGATAATAAGAACAAAATTTGCTCAGTATTGACTATTTCATAGGGCTGCTTTTCACAATTTTTACAAAATTTAAACTTTGCTTTTGTAACGCAAAATCAAATATTTCTTGTTACATTAAAATAGTTTTAATAAACATGGCCACCTTTGTGTAGCTCAAATACCCATTCAATTCATTACTTAAATAAGCTAATGGGAATGAATATTATGGTACCCTTTCTTTTAATAGGAAACCATTATTTGGCTTGTTTACCATCACAAAATTTTTTCTTGGACGAAAAAAAACATTTGCATTTGTGGCCTCCTCTTAAATTTTGACTTCTCTGGCAAAGCCTGTGGTGATTTATGAACATAAACTGCATCATAGATGAATGTATAACACACTGTGTATTTAGTAATGTACTTGTAAAAAAAAACTCATTTGACCCCAATATTCAAGGAGGAAAACCGGAAACCAGTGAGTTGATACTTAAACTTTAAAAAAAAATATCTGATGTAAAGTACACAGCACACTGTAAACAAAGTTAATTCCATTACTGTAACTCTGATACAATTTAAATATTTTTTTTTTTTTTTTTCCAGCAATTATCAAGATCAGAGATTGACAAAGTGAGTACAATTAAATACTGTGAAATTAATTATTTTCATTGGTGAGATATTTGTGAGGATTTTCATGTTTGAAGAATTTCTGAAGTGTTTTTTGCATAGAGGACATGAATTTGTGGGACTCTAAAATAAGTGTTTTAAGCTACCACAAAAATAAGTGATTTTACAGTAATAACTTTAGAGTTCTTTGGAGATAACAGATTCTTATAATGACAAAACTGTACTTTATACTTGTCTTGAATACTAAGTATTTATTTAGCAGAATTTGTTTCTGATGAATAAAAATGCAAAATGCTGCTAATGAGAGAAATTCAATAAATAAAGTATTTACTTTATTCCAAGAACAAAATTATTCCTATGTGATCCATATATACACATTATATGACATATATAAATAACTTTTCATTCTACTGCCATTGATTTAAGTGTGAAGACAGCAGTTGATTCATTATTTGTTTTCATTGATAGGGAGGCCATGAGGAATTATCTGAAGGAGAGGGGAGACCAGATATTAGTCATATTACACGCCAAAGTCGCACAAAAATCATACGGAAACGAAAAAAGGTACGTTTTCATAAAAGTGCCATTATCTTATAGCAGTGATGAAATGAGGAAGGAAAAAGTATTTCTCAGTGGCACAAAATAATAAGGGAAGGAACAGTAACTCTTCATGTAAAAAACTCATTGGATAAAAGAAAAATGGCAGGAGAAACTTTAAAAGGAGTTTTAAAGTATAAGAGTACTTTTAGTGAAAAAAATGCAATTCAAGCTTAATATTTCTGTTGGACAGGTTTTTCTGCCCACCCCCCTGTATATACCTCTTTGGGAGTGGCTGGAAACGGAAAAAGGAAGCGATTGAGGCTGAGGGGGGCACAGAACAGGACTCCACGACATGTGCCTTTATGGGGATTGGGAACTCTGACCAGGAGATGGTGCAGCTCAACCTGGAGGGCAAGGTCACATACATTTATCATTAGCAGGCTCGTCTCAGACATTAGCCTTTGATAAAATGTTGATTTTTTAAGGGACCCAAATCTGTATGTAGGGAATAAGCTTTGTCTTATATGACTCTTATTCTATATCTTGTAAACAGTTTTATTAAGGACAGTATTTAGGCCATTATCGGAAACCCACAATTGATTAGAATTTGTTCCTCTTTGAATGTGGCAAATGCCCTGTATTTTACACTTCATTGACTAGGAAAAAAGAAAATAAGATTAATGGTTCATGTATATAATGTAAATGAAACAATTTGATGCATATATGGAATCTTGTTAACACAATAGTATGATTGTTTCATGCCCCCATGGGGGATCACTTCAGCTCTTGTTTACTTTTGTTTACCTCTTTATTTTAACAGAATTATTGTGCAGCCAAGACATTGTATATATCGGACTCTGACAAGAGGAAACATTTTATGTTGACTGTGAAAATGTTCTTTGGGAATGGACAGGACATTGGTGTATTCAATAGTAAACGGATTAAAGTGATATCAAAACCTTCCAAGAAGAAACAGTCACTGAAGAATGCGGATTGTGAGTTTGTCAACTTCTTCTCTTGTTTATAGATAAAAATTTCTATAAAAAAAAATCCCTGTCATAGAAGTCTTGTAGGTTAGAGCGAAGTTTAATAATGGTCTTATAAAAGATATAGTGCACAAAATTTGAGAATGGGAGATATTACTCCTATTATATTTGTAAAATGTTCCAAGGTAAACCAATTTGAACTGTGTAGACTGTAGGGATGTAAAGGAATGAATTTTGTGTTTAGATCCAGTGTTATGTGTTGCAGTTTATGTTGCTTCACTTTAAGAAAGAACTTATGAAGCATTTATCAGTTAAAGTTATCATAATTAATGTCATCAGTACATATTACATTCACACAGAATTGTCATTGTTAAGGATTTATCGTTAATATCAGTATATCATTTAAAAGAAAATATTGACAAAATGATTTTATATTAAAATTTAGGACACAAATACTCAAAATTTTAATGGTGTAATCAATCAGAGTTCTAAAAGTTTACACATATTATAGGCTAAAATTTTAGATGTAACTGGTGCCAAAATCATAAATGTCAAATCATTTTGAGTCATATAACTACCAAGTTATCCTACATCAAACAACTGCCCTACAGAAATGTTCTACAGAAGTAATGGACTAAAGTGACAGATATAACATCGGATTGATTTGGCTCGTCTAGACTTTATGTACCAACTAATCATTGATGAACTTTATTTTGGCAGTGTGTATTGCGTCGGGAACAAAAGTAGCCCTGTTTAACCGACTTCGTTCCCAGACCGTCAGTACGCGGTACCTCCACGTGGAGAATGGTAACTTCCATGCCAGCTCTACCCAGTGGGGAGCATTCACCATCCATTTACGTGAGTATTGATTTCTGAGGAAGACTTGAATGAAATAATGGGCTTTCATCTTAAACCATCCATTGTTTGGGCCCATTTATGATGAGACAAATTGGTTAGGCAATTTTTTTAAATGGAAGATTTGTAAACAGAGTTTGAAACTTTTTCATAATTTTTTTTCCCATTTAATGGCTGTTAGTCTTTTTAAAGTCCAAAACATTTTCAAACACATGCACAAACAGGATTTGTTTCTTTTATACTTGTGTACTTTTAGCCACTCTTTGTGTGGTAATGTGAACTTCCAAAGTTGATAGAATTTTGCTTTAAAAAATTAATTCTAAAATAGATCTGAAAGTAACAATTTAAAAGATAGTGGATCTTTAAACTTTAATTACATTCCAAGGATGCTGTTATTAATTTTTGAATTGATGACGTTTTGTTGAATGATGGGAGGTCTATTTCCATTGTTGATGTCGGAAAGCTGTACTTTAATGGATGATATTTCATAATACTGGATGGTGTATACAGTAACATAATATTTTGATTGTGAGTAGATAATGTATGATAATATTAGTTGCTGTATTTAGTAGATGATATATGGTAACAGTGGTTGTTTTATTTCAGTGGATGACAATGAGGGGGAATCAGAAGAGTTTACCGTCAGAGATGGATACATCCACTACGGATCTACCATCAAACTTGTGTGTTCTGTCACTGGAATGGCACTGCCAAGACTCGTAAGTCTATAAGTCACAAGTTAGCAGAGACTTAAGTCTGTATGTCAGATTTCTACACGACTCAATACTAAACTTTATAATACCAAGACTTGCAAGTCTTTAAGTCAGAAATTAGCAAAGATTTCAGTTTGCATGTCAGACAGCTAAACCACAAAGTTTCAAGTCCAGACGTCGAACTTTTCAGACTCAGCTAAGAATTGTAGTCTTTCTAATAGTCAGAATGAAGCAAAGACACTGATATATGTGTCCATTTCTAAAAGCAGGGCATTTGAGACTGTCACCATCTTTACATGTTTCGTTATTGTTTATCTTGTTACAGATCATTCGTAAGGTGGACAAGCAGACGGCCATCTTGGACGCTGATGACCCGGTGTCCCAGCTCCACAAGTGTGCCTTCTACATGAAAGACTCGGAGAGGATCACAGGAACGCATCACAGGTAAACTCTATAGTATTGTGTGTCACAGGAACGCTAATTTATATATATCATTCAGTTCCAGGTACCTAATTATATATCTATAGTATTGTGTAGAACTCAGAGAGAATGTACCTCTGTCTGTCACAGGAACGCATCATTCGGTTCCAGGTAACTGTTTATATCTCTATAGTATATATCTCAGTAATATTGTCTAGAACTCAGAGAGAATGTACCTCTGTCTGTCACAGGAATGCATCATTCAGTTCCAGGTGACTAATTATATCTCTATAGTATATATCTCAATAGTATTTAGATTGGGTTTGAACTTTTAAAAATGGCGGCTTCACGATTTCGCTGATATTGAATTAAGGATATATTGAAATAATTTGCATGGTCCCCTGAATTTCAATATATGCGGAGTAGGCTGTAATTGTTTGTATGTTAGTATTGTCTAGGGACTATCTTGCTCAAAGTTGTCTTTTACCTTACATTCAGATGACAAAAATATTATTCAGTAGATATCATCCAAAAAACAGTAATAACAGGTTCCAGTGAACACATATATAAATGCTCATTTGATTATCAACCTTAGATGTGTTATTTTAAAAAAAAAAAAAAAAAAAAAACTTTTTTATAAACCAAATGATCAAGAAACCTGTCCTGATGAAAAGGGGAATAATTTATTTTCTTTAAATTTAATTTAAAAAGTAGAAAATTGAGTTATTCCTCTTTTTATTGTGTGAATACAACAGTGTTTGGTCCAATACAGTGGTGTCTGAGAAACCAAGGATCAAATTCATTTTTAGCCTTATGGCAGTTTTCTAACAGTGGATGAAAAAAAAAACCAAACTTAATTAATCTTTGGCAATATATTTTAGGCTACTCCATGTCCCAAAGAGCCAAACAAAGAAATGATAAACGACGGAGCTTCATGGACAATAATTAGCACAGACAAGGCAGAGTACACATTTTATGAGGGAATGGGGCCAGTTAAGTCCCCTGTTTCACCCGTACCGGTCGTCAACAGTTTACATGTAAGTGTTGATATTATGTGTTCATTACATACATCTAGATTATCATGACAGACTAATCTACATCTATATTTAGGGAAATCATCCAAACTTACATACTAGATATTAAGATAGTGTTTACTCTTAGTTCTCCCACATCATACAGACTTTCATCCTCTCATTTTCAGCTGAATGGAGGAGGAGATGTGGCCATGTTAGAACTGAACGGTGAATTCCTGGCCCCCAATCTGAAGGTGTGGTTCGGGGAGGTGGAGGCTGAGACCATGTTTAGGTGTGAGGAGAGCATGTTTTGTGTAGTCCCTGACATCTCTGCTTTCAGAGCCGGGTGGAGATGGGTGCGGCAGCCATTACAGGTAATTCATTTATATAAGTCATTAAAGACATTCATTGGACACTCGGTGGTTAGAGGGCTCACTCCTTTATCACAATGTCATGGGTTTGAATTATACGGACATTGCTATATGTAAAGCTGTAACTTTTTGGCAATTTTCAATATTTAATGTTAATGAAAACTTTTAGTCATCACTGTTTAAATAGTTTATGAGGGATAAATCAGCGAGTCATTATTCTTGACTTAAAGAAAAGTTGGATATTAGATGTTTGTCTCCAGATGTTTGAGACATTGAGGTATGTCTTTTAAGGACATACATATGTACACTTCCCTGTGGACACTAACATACACTATGTATTTACTTGTTAATCAGAGTTATTACAGAGTTGTCTTCTCCTTGTCAGGTTCCTGTCTTACTGGTGAGGAATGATGGGATAATTTACTCCACGGGTTTGACCTTCACCTACACCCCAGAGCCGGGGCTTCGCGCCCATTCTCGGGAAGTGGACCGGATATTAAGACCGGGCGTGTCCAGTCCAGATTCCACCTCCACAACAAACTTCAGCAATCCCTTATAGTGCCTTGTCCCATACTGGTCATGTGACCAGGCAAACAATTCAACATGGTCATGTGACTAAGCAAACAATTCAACCTGATCATGTGACCAGGCAAATAACCTGGTCTTATGACCCAAAATACAAATCAACCTGGTCATGTAACCTGACAAACAATTTAGCCTTAATCTCTTGACCAGGCAATTCAATCTGGTCATGTGACCAGTCAAACAACCAATCATGTGATATTTTTGTATTTAGTATATGTGGTACAGAATTAACATTGTGCATAAAATCAGAGCTGTAACTCAACAACAACCTAAGTCTTTAGCCTTCAACAAAATTTAATTGTAATTCTGCCTTATTTTTTTTTTTAATTAAGTAAAAACATTTTACAAGTACATTTTTTATAACAAATGAAAGAGATTCCAGAGTGAATACAATTTTTAAAATCTTTTCAGGTTTTTCTGTAAAACTATTTCTAGAATTATCTAACACTGTAGAGGCTGTATAAATTAATAATACATACAGATGTTTACAATGTGGCCGTCTTGTACACTGTGTTATAGATAAGTTAGACACCTGTACACATTAAGTGCTTTAACTATGCCTTCTTATGTCTTCTGTGCTTTGATGTTAATAGTGCTTTCAATTTGTTACCATAAAACCATGTCACAAAGTGACAAAGTATCAAACATGTACCCCCTACCCCTCCAAACACCATATTGAGCACCCCCACCCCCTCCAAACACCATTTTGTGTGCCCTAAGAGTGCCAGTATTTTGTTGACTGTTATATCATCCAATCGGGTTGTTTTTTCTTATTGTATACATCTTGTATGGATCTTCTTGTTTGAGTTTTATGTTATCTTTGTTGAAAACATACATCTTTTTTTTAATTGTAAAAAGACATTTAAGTGAAAAAACACTGAATTTGTAATAAGTGTAATCATCAAGGTCTTTGAGATATACACAATGTATTTCATATATAACTCTTAAAGTGCTTGAAATATATTGTCAGAAGTTGACATGTACCAAAAGCATTTGTAGGACCTTCAGATAGAAGTTTTTTTTTTTTACTTCATAACTATAGGTAATGAGAAACATTATCATCATTTGAATTTACATATGAAAGTTCATGAACAATGTTGAATTAGTTCAGACTTGAGCATTTGTGTATGATTGAAATGGGCATTCTATAACAAGTTATATTTTCATCTTGATGGAACATATTTTTTGATGTCGGTCTAATTTTTGTGAGTCTTTTAAATTTGTTCAGAAGCCCATTAACCGTTCTAAGGCAGCTTCTTCACTGTCGTCTATAGTTAAGTTATAAGTGCTTATCTCTAGTGCATGGAATCATTTATATCTGCTAAAATCCAGGTCTTCTTGGATTTCATTATTTATTCACTTAAAGATTTTGTATTTTCACTTTATGAAATTATTTTGTGAAATTTTAGGATAAAATATGCCAGTGTTGTGATCCATTTTTAGTTACACCCTGTTTGTTTTATTTCTCTTTTAAACCTGTATGTGTGGAATTAAGGCAGTTCTAGGCAGTTTCATGAGAAATGTTATTTTTTAGAAACCATTTTTAGACACAAAGATTACATAGGAACTCAGTCATTGTCCTATTTCTGTTTTGATTACATGGGGCCAATTATCATGGTGATTTCAGAATTGACATTAATTTTAAGTCATTTTAGATTAATTTTAATATTTTAAGATTTCGCAACTCTCTAGTAAGAAAAGTAACTCTTTCTAGGAGAAACATTTATTATCCCTTATAAAACATGTGTTTAAAGGCCATTTCTGTTTAAAAAAAAAATTGACTTGCAATGGGTGCACTTAATTATAAATTAAATCTCTTGCAGCAAAATTTAAGTGTTAGAGAATGACAAGAGAAAGATAATCAAAATTTTACCAATAAACACTAATACTTCCCCATACTTCATGTTCTGGTTGTGGAGGTTCTCTGCATCAGTTACTTTCCATGGTCTTGTTTTGACAATCATGTCCTACTTTCAGTTTCATTTTATGGATATAATGGTGGGACTTTCCTGAGCCTTGTTTTGGTAGTTCATGTAGAAAAAGGAGTGAATCACTGCCCAGATACTGGTTTTAACACATGTTTATTGTATGGTAGGTCTAATTTTGTCCCACTTTACCGACAGTGCCAGTAGCAGCAAATGCATCATCAATGTCATTTTGTGAATGTGAAATCACACCAATTTTCTGTACATAATTTGTTTACTTGTACATTTGATTGTAGTTACTGAATAAATACCTCAATAATAAATTGAAAAAAATATATTTTGTCAGACTTATTTGTAGAATGAATTAACAGGGTTTGGTGAAACATTTTTAGCTCACCTGAGCCGAAGACTCAAGTGAGCTTTTTTCATCACATTTTGTCCGTCGTCCGTCCGTCTGTAAACTTTTCACATTTTTGACTTCTTCTCAAGAAGTATATAAAGGCCAATTTTGACCAAACTTGGTACAAAGCATCCTTATATTAAGGGGAATTTAAATTGTGAAAATAAGGGAGTCCCCTCACAAGGGGAGTGATGTAAGAAAAGACAAAAATAGGGTGGGGTATTAAAAAATCTTCTTCTAAGAACCACTGGGCTAGAAAAGCTGAAACTTATTTATCTGGGGTATAACATTCTTAAATGTTAAAAATCATGACCCCCAGGGATTTCGGGGCCACAATGGGGAATCAAACTTTTACTTAGAAATATATAGGAAAAATCCTTAAAAATCTTCTTCTCAAGAACCACTGGGCCAGAAAAGCTGAAACTTATGTGAAAGCATCCTTAGGTAGTGCAGATTCTAAATTCTTAAAATGTGTGACCCCCGGGGATAGGGTTCCTGGGGCCACAATGGGGAATCAAACTTTTACATAGAAATATATAGGAAAAATCTTTTAAAATCTTCTTCTCAAGAATCACTGGGCTAGAAAAGCTGAAACTTATGTAGAAGCATCCTGGGATAGCGTAGATTCTAAATTGTTAAAGTCATAACCCCCGGGGGTTGGGCAGGGCCACATTGGGGAATCAAAGTTTTACATAGAAATATATGGGAAAATCTTTAAAAATATTCTTCTCAAGTACCACTGGGGCAGAAAAGCAGAAACTTATGTGGAAGCATCCCAGGGTAGTGTAGATTCCAAATTGTTAAAGTCATGACCCCCAGGGGTTGGGCAGGGCCACATTGGGGAATTAAGAGTTTTACATAGAAATATATAGGAAAAATCTTTAAAAATTTTTGTGTGAACCACTGGGCAAGTAAGTAAATTGTGGAAGCATCCCAGTGTGTAGTGTAGATTCCAAATTGTAAAAATATCATTTCGGGGGTTGGGCAGGGCCATAATGGGGGATCAAAGTTTTACATAGCATATATAGGAAAAATCTTTGAAAATCTTTTTTCAAGAACCACTGAGCCAGAAGCTGAAACTTTTGTGGAAGCATTCTGGGGTAAATATATTTAAATTGTAAAAATATTTGATGTTGTGCAGAGCCACAATGGGGAATCAAAGTTTTACATAGAAATATATAAAAAATCTTCTTTGCAAGAACCACTGGGCCAGAAAAGCAGAAACTTATGTGGAAGAATCCTGGGATAGTGTAGAGAAATTTTTATCATGTCACCCCCGGAGGTAGGGTGGGGCCACAATAGGGAATCAAAGTTTTACTATGTTGAATCAAAGCATCCTATGGTAGTGTAGATTTCAAATTGTTTAAATTATCATCAGTTGGGTAAGGTGGGGTCACAACATGTATAACAATGGGGAAATAAAAAATTTCAAAGCTTCTAGGTGAGCGATGCAGCCCATTTTCTCTTGTTTATGAAAGTGTTGAATTCTCTCTCTCTCTCTCTCTCTCTCTCTCTCTCTCTCTCTCTCTCTCTCTCTCTCTCTCTCTCATGCACACCCTTTCTTTCTTACACACATTTATCCATTTATTTTTCAATATTAGTATATAAAGAACAAGGAAAGGTGTCAAGACATATCTGCCCCTGTATTTTTCTAAGATTAAGAAGTGATGTAAGAGACTAATATTAATACTTTCTGAATTATTGATATTCTATGCAGTAAGAACATAACAGTTTTTATCAATATAACATTCTTAATGTTAATTGTGACGTCATTTTCAGCTGCAGTATATACTAGAGCCCCCTTCTATGGCTAAGCTTAAAATGAATTAATGCTTTGAAATCCACTCCCTGGTATATCTTGTGATGAACAAGGGTGCCTTTTACAAAATTGTGAAATGTGTGGACCCAGGTTTAGGGGTTCCTGTGGGATGAGGGCATTACTGATTATTGCTGAATATTTCTGATTAGTTGAAATGCATTTTTTGTTCCCCTACTATGGCTATTCAAAAGTAACCAAGAGAAAACATACGAAGTGTATTGTAAATGTCATGGCCCTTGGTGTAAAATATGAACAACCAAATTCAATGGTTGGAAAGTTTTTGCATGATGCTTAGGTGACCTATACGGCCCCATCGTCTCAAGCCACGGTCCGGAGTCCGCATATATACCTCTCTCCTGGGAGAGGAGCGTACATTTTGGCCGTGGTTTGCGACGATGATAAGGCCCATGGCAAAAATTTTAAGCATTTCTAGACGAATTGCTATTAAGATTTCAATGCATTTTTTCGGGTATTGTAATTTTTGTATGTACCAATGTATGTTCATTGTGAAAGCCGGTAGTGTGTAGTTTCTGAGAACAATTTTAAAAATATCATTTCAGTTGCCATGGCAATGAAATGCACATTAATCATACTGCAATTTCCATTTATTCAAGAATGAGTTTCATACTAGTTTTCTTTTTTTCCTTAGTTAAATATATTTACTATAGTAAAAATATTTTATTGTTGTGTTGAAAACTATGAGCTTGCCGTACATAAAAAAAACAATGTGAAGTATGTTGGCGGGATGGGGTGGGGTTGGGAGGTAATCACCAGAATTTAGCATTTTTACATATCACGTGTTACCACCGCTTTGATTTTGATAATGGCAAAATCGCTCAAATAGTGCGCAAAGTTTAACTCAAGTTAGCAAAAAACTGGTACAACCAATATAAAAAATTTCTGTATATTATTTTATCGTAATTATTTTCTCTTTCCAACAGTGCAAGAATTATTCTAATATTTCCAGTATTTACGAAGTTATGAATGTTTGTTCACACTATACTCATTTTTGAAGTCAGATGCGTAGAAATGCGTATATGCCATACTTTGTTATATTGTAACACGTCATTTGTTGGATAAAAATTATGGAATGTATCAAATAACCTGTGTTGTTTACATCACACTGCCTTTCGTCAAAAACGTAATTATAATTAATCCACTTGATATTACATTTACTACATATACAATTTGTAAAGCACTTTTGAAGGAGAATATACAATTATTGCTGTTTTTTGAGGTCAATACAATGATTTAGCCATCTGAGGAGTACAATATACACCGAGCCCGACGGGCGAGGTGAATATTGTACTTCGAAGATGGCTAAATCGTTTTATTGCCTGAAAAAAACAGCAATAATTGTTTTATTATATGATTCACTGATAAAATGATACAGCTCACTACTTGGTAACTTGCATTTTGTTAAGTCCTAGCCAAATACAAGAGAGAAATATAATTAAAATGTGAATAAAACTTACCAGTCGTATCAATTTGAAATGGGTTTTTTTATCAATTTTAGTTGCCTTGAAAAAAATAATATAATATCAGTCTTTCTATAGGATAGATTTCGAAAGGAAGGAGTATTATCAGGGAAAACTGACTGCCAAAAAGTAAAAAAAAAAAAATGTTGTTCAGTAAAAGTGTTGGAGGGGGGTCCCTGCATTCCCTCTTACCACCCTCACCCTAAATATATATTCTCTTATGTTTTTTTTTCCACATGAAAAAAAATCACAGTCGTTTAAATAGCTTTCCAAAACAATTTGTATCAATTTGGAATTTCCCAGTCTATTTTTTTTAGATCAATGTAGAGGAAATAATTCCTTGTATTGACCTGGAACGTCACGTGCAGGTCAATACAACGTAGTATTTTTGTAACATAGTTGGATCTCAGCCAATCAGAGAGATGGAAATTATTCAATCATATAATAAAACGATTTGCCGAAAGAGAGATTTGTTTAAACGGAAAATATTAAACAAATTACATTCATTGTAATTAAGATATTGTTATTAGAGTTCAACAGATGTGTTATACAATGTAATATGTTAAATTCGATCCAACGAACTTCTGAAACCTTATAAAATTCGTTTGAACAAATTCGATTAAATAATCCATTACATGTATATTGAATTCAGTTTTTTATAGGTCCTAAATGAGCTTCCGTAATAGGCAGACCTTAACTCTGAAATAACAACACGTCTGAACTACATTGATTGATTGATTTCACTTCATAGAAAAATAAATCACCAGAAAAACAAATATAGAATTTTAAGTCAAAGAAACATCTTTTTTTAAATAAGGTAAACGGTGTTGCATTTAGAATAAATGTATTTAATTTCCTAAGATTGCATATTTCAGCAGCGTGAAATTCTTAACTAAAAAAAATGTTTTCGTTAATTCGGTTTACAAAACCCGCTATTCCATGATCGTCATTTTTTTCACGAACGAATTACTTGTCGATTCGCTTCGACAATGTTGATATCCCAACGATTTCGATCCTGTTTACAATGAAGCGCATTGAAGTGGTAAAATTTTCCATTTGGATGAAACGTTTTAAACAATTATAACATTACAACGCCCATTTCTTTAGAAACGAGACAGGAATATTCGTCGTAATGTTTTATATGGAATCCGGATAGGGCCACGCAGTTCACTATCGCATCATCGCACCATCGAGATTTGAGTCGATGGTGCGATGTCGCGATGACGATGGCGCGATGGTGCGATAACGATGAAGCGATGACGCGATGACGATGATGCGATGGCGCAATAGCGCGACGACGATGATGCGATGGTACGATGAAGCGATAATGCGATGACGCGATGGCACGATAGCGATGATGCGTTGGTGCGATAGCGATGATGCGATGGCGCGATAGTGATGATCATGCTACATGTCATCGTTATTGCTTTATCGCGCTATCGACATCGTGTCATCGCACCATCGCTCTATCGACTTTATAGATAGGATGGCATTCCCAGCAGTCATTGCACAACATTGCACAACAGCGTTTGTTGATGAAAAGATTCAAGAATATTTCATTAACGGATACGATAATAAAGAAATCATGGTTTTATACAGAACTTCCATGTGTATTGCCATTAGTAGTTAAAAGTCAAGCAAGGATTTGATTGCCCAGTGATAATAAATTGACTTTAATTTTGTATATGATAATCATATTTTAAATAACAAACACGAAGTACATGTACCAAGAGGAGAAAGGGAGGAAGACTTTTGTTTTGTGTTTGCTTTTAATTTTCTTGATTGTGAATACTGTATTTAACGGTGCTAAAATTTCAAAAAAGTACAATAGCGATGGTTTTTATTTGTTACATAGGTCCCTGATTTCACATGCAAGAAATTAATTTAAATTTCGTATATTTTACTTGTTTTTTTTTCATTCACGATAGGTTTAATTTTGCGGATAAAAGATGAATGGCAAACATAGTGAAACTTGTAATTATTTTCCAATCCACAATATTAACCCCCCCCCCCCCCCCCACCCCCACCCTTTAAAAACTAAAATCTAAATCACGCGGATTTCGATTTCTTTTACATCAGTCTCAAGATGAGTGTATTGTCAAACTTATCTTGATTATCAAACTATATTTTCACAATCTTCTAACTAGTTATATCTTATGGAATCCGGATAGGGCCATGCAGTTCACTATCGCACCATCGAGTATCGACTAATAGGTCGATGGCGCGATAAGGCAATGGTGCGATAACGATGAAGCGATGATGCGATGACGATGGAGCTATGGTGCGATTGCACGGTGACGATGATGCGATCAAGCGATAATGCGATGACGATGGTGCGGTAGAACGATAGAGTAAAAGTGAATATTGCTTCATTGTTATCGTACCATCGCGTCATCATCATTGCACCATCGTGCCATCACTATCGCAACATCCTGTTATCGCATCATCGCTTCATCGTGCTATCGCACCATCGCCATCGCATTATCGTGCCATCGCTTCATCGTTATCGCACTATCGCAACATAACTTCATCGTTATCGCACCATTGCTTCATCGTCATCGCATCGTCGTGTCATCGCATTACCAACCCAAACCTCGATGGTGCGATGATTGAACTGCCCTATCTATTCCATATGACATGAGTTTTTCAATCCTTATACCACGGTCTGATTTTGTCAGAATCCGACTAATCTAGTACCGCAGTGATGAATGTAAACAAACAGGTCAGCTGGTTCCCTCTCCTGCTTTACCTCGTATGTGTAGAGAACTATTTAACAGATTATCAAAAATCCTTACGCTAATGAACTATGTTCTTTGACTGATGAAGTTTTCAAAGTCATTACTACTAATGTTTATTTTATATAATAAAAATTTCTTTATTTAGCGTTTGTATTTTAAAACATTTTTGCACGTAACTTTAAAATGGCGACTATGGGGTCAACATCCTGCCTTGAACAGGATCACATAAGCCGGCAATTGCTCTTTGAGCAATAAGCCCGGCTAAAAATGGATATACATGTACTGGATACCTTACAAGACGCAGTTCCTTGTCTGATCTGTATAGTGTATTTTCAAGTTGGTAAAAAAAATCGTTTATAAATCATTATTTGATATCGATACAATATCAGTAGGAAAAACTTAATTGCTTAAAGAAGTATACAGCTAAAAGAGTGAAAACAAGATTGAATATTGAAACGATACATAACATTAAACATTGATATCGACGATATCGATGGCAAGTACAGTCTTTGTACATTGATGTATAATATTTAAACATAAACATAGGGAGAGAGAGAGAGAGATGAACAAACATATATACAAGATATTAGTTATATATATATATATATATATATATATATATATTTTTTTACTGGTACTGAATACAAGAAAAATTACATGTATTTAGAAAATTACATATATATGTTTATACAGTAGATTTAGCCGAAAGAAAAAAAGTTGTGGCGTTGAAAAGCTTCCAAGTCTTGTATAGTTGGCTTTTCTGACATGCCACGAAGTAATCGATACAATTTTCTTTCATAATTTCCTTTACCAAATTTATCATTGCCTGGTGAAAAATGCACTGATTTACAATGAAGAGAGAGAGAGAGAGAGAGAGAGAGAGAGAGAGAGAGAGAGAGAGAGAGAGAGAGAGAGAGAGAGTTTTTTGACATTGTATCCTTTTTTGTCATCAGATCTCAGGGTCAATGACACTTAACAATCGATCTCTCCTTCCCTTTCTTTCTACAATGTACTAACTTCTTGCAATCGGTCAGTCGAGCTTGTCCGATTATAATTAGCTGTCTACATATTATGATATACTAGGAAGAAGTGAAAGTACGATGTGTTATGTAAACAATACACGGGAATCCCTGTAACGGAGGCTATATATAGATCATATGTCGGTTTAAATTTTAAAAACAACAAAATAGGCCACTCACCGTATTCGTGACTTACATATATAAAAGGACGCATGTGAGTTCTTCTGAGTAATATGTACAGCTGACTATATATACTTATACGATCGAGCTGAGTATTTTTTTTTACTTATTGCTGCCTGTATAAACACAGTCAAGTGAATGCCCCAACGATCTAAGATGCAGGCCGCAGATTCAGCGTCAGTTTTGATCCCGGTGTCCAATTCTTCACAGCCCGACCCCCGGGACCCAGTCCCCAGCCCCCGGAACCACCGTGACAAAGGAATGGAGGCGTACAATTGTTTGTGTTTTTCCTTTATCCTCGTTCTAGGGACTATTCTTATCATCTTTGTTGTAGGAATCATAAGAGCCAGGTAATGTTGGGTTTTCCTTATCATAATATAAAAGCGGGGGTTAGAGTCAGAGGAATCTCGGATTACGTTCTTGTATGTTTAAATTTATCACTTTTAACACTTGTATTAATTTATAACATCCCTGTTTATTTGTTGCATCATTGAAGTACATGAAGAAAGAGAGGGGCGGTGCTGTTGTTTTAAGTCTACACTTGGGCCGTATAAAATAGGACTGCATTGTAATGCTTTAAACAACCGATCATTCAAAATCTACATGTAAGCCTGTTTAATAAAAATGCAAAAAGTTAAATAAGACATTTTCAAATACATGTGCAGTGAATTACAAGAACGTAGTTTTGTTTCTGTACACAATGTTTTTGTTTTGGAGTGCTAAATATAGTTCAGAGAAAATTTTCCATTGTTGAGGGGTTACCCTGCCGTCATTTCTCTATATTTATCTTCATCTATTGCATCTACGTACGGAGGTATAAAACGGGGTATTTAATAAATCTCTCTCTCTCTCTCTCTCTCTCTCTCTCTCTCTCTGCATGTGTTTATATGTATAACGACTAGATGTGTGGAGGGAGAGAGAGATTGAGATCGAGAGAGAGAGAGAGAGAGTTTTGGAAACGATAAGAATCAGCTTGTGTAACAATTTCAGGTTAAAAAGAAATAAAGTTTTGTGATATGAACATATTGGGAAAGGGGTGGATGGGTGGTAACCTATGTAAATGATTATATAGTAGTTAATGATTTTTTTTCAACATTTTTCATTCGCATAAAGAATACAAATTTTCATATCATTCTCGAATAAGAAATATTCGTGTACCCCCCCCCCCCCTCCATTACTTTCCGTATGGATCTCGTGCTCTTTCCCTTCGTTAATCACTTTTTAATCTGACCGATTTTTCCAGATATTATAATAATAATTATATTTCAGATTAACGTAGAGTACTAAAGTAATTCTCCGAGTCGCATGATACAGTCTGTGTACATGGTAACTATAGTTCGATTTTGGACTCGGAAGAAAACTTAATCTTTGTCCGTTATGGATCAGCTGATCGCAGAACTGCTGACGTATCAACTGCAAAAAGCAGAATCGATTAAGCCAGGGCACTGACCCCATGTCTTTATGTCGTGTCCCAAATCCACCCCACATAATTAGGTGAAATGAATACACGCTCTTTGTTGTTAAAGAAGGGTATAAAAAACGACACCAATGAGGTCGAAGACACAATCTAAACAGAACACGCGGTCGTCGACACTGTCTCGTAAGAAAATTAAGGTAAAATGTAGAAGTTTGATAGATTGTTTTCCCAAAAAGTAACGTAATATATTTTATTTAAGATTAATTATTTTATTTTAAAGTACACAAAGTTATTAATGTAGATCAGGAAAGAATGGGGTTTTCCTTAAGATATATATTTGTTAGAATTAGTTAATCCACGAAAAATTGATTTGTTCTACCAAGGATGAGAAGGGGGGTTAGGCAGGTGGGAATTTGTTCTTCCGTGGTGATTTTTTTCGGGGGTAGGGTAGGTTGGGGGGGGGGGGTTAAACAGCGAGTGATTAATGAAAATATGTAACTTGCAGCCATAGTTCATATTTCCATTATATTTTATACATGTAGTTTCTCAGTTACGGTTCTAATCACAAATATTTAGTAGATCCTGCTAACTAGGTAATATGTGGTGTATGTTTTATTTCATTATGTCCACGAACGGGTATAAATTGGGTAACACGCTCTTTAGCCCCCCCCCCCCCCCCACACTTTGTGTCCAAAATATACATAAGATTCAATATATCAATGCTTTTTTGTGTATGGCTGTGGGCTCAAACCTGACCCCAAACTAGCCTCCTTTCAAGATTCCTGGATCCGCCACTGGGTAATATAGCGTTTGTTTTATTTTCAGTATGTCTACGGACGGGTACGAGCTGGGTAACATGGTGTTTATGGCTCTGTGTATCGCGCTCCTTGTTATGTTGATTATGACTTCTCTTGCTTGCCTTTGTATGTGTCACAAGCACACAGCAGATCTTGAGGGAGACCCGGGCCAACATGTAAGTACTGGTAGATTGAAAAAATACAGGCCATTATAGACAGTACTGTAATAAAAAGTGGTAAAGATTAAAACGATACAAATCTGTGAAAAGTGCCTAAACAGACCCCCTGGAAATTCCAGAGGTGGAATCAGATGCCGAGGAGCAGTAAGCATCCCCTGCTGACAGGACACACTCGCCCTGAGTTCTGTGTATTGATTAAACAGAAGGAACGATCCGTAGTCGATTTTAATACAAAAAAAACAAGGTCTAACAATTGATATGAAACAAATCGGCGAAAATACGACCTAGTGACATGTTATATTTGCATGCTTATTAATAAAGTCATTATACTATCAAAGAATTTACGAAGTGCTGACCTAAAACGAAGTAGCCGAAATCCCTGTAACATTAACTTGTGTATGAGTAGCCTGTCTCCGATACAGAGGGACTTCCCATGCAAAAAGACCACTAGCGGGTAAAGATAGTTATGGGTATACGGAATGTCACGAGAGAAAGTCATTGAAAACCTAATATTAAAAATTCTTCATACAAAATGTCAAAATATATTTAAGAGGACCAAGACTAGATGAAAGTGAACGGGAACTTACAACCTTATCAAAATATATATTTGATAAACTCCAGTTAGATTGCCACACAACACTTATGTATGTAGACCACATGTTCTGTTCGAAAACAAATACTAGTAAATGTCTTCTGATGTAAAAGTAAAAAAAAAAAAGAAAGAAAGAGAAAACACGAAACCAGGAGTTTCTTTCAGAGGACGGGGGCATAGACTAAGACACTCTTTTCTTAGAATGTTTAAAAGAGAAAAAAAAATCGAGAGAGAAAGAGAGCAGATGGTAAAAAACCTTTTCAAATGGGGTATTTTCATGGACAAGTCTTATATGTATACAGGACTCTTCTTACCAGCTTTCTAGTATTAAGAAGACACAGAGATTTTTGTTACTTGCATGACTTCACCACTACGTCAGTCGAGTTAACCCCCCCCCCTCCAAAAAAAGAAGGTCGGTATCTCCCCCCACCCCCCCCCCACCTCCGCATCAGATGGACCTACTATACATGTATAATCCTTATATGTCAGTATCCACTTTTACATTGTGTACTTTTTTTCGTTCACAGAGGAATGGGTCCAGTAAAGGTGGTGCTTTTTACATTGTGGGTTGGAACATGAAGATTTTAAAACAATCAGGTAATGTTTTGCATTCTTTGCGGTGCAAGGTCATATATTATATTCTTTGCCGTGCAAGGCCAGGCAACAATTAAAGAAGTTTAAAGTCTATAGAATCTCTTCAAAATAAAAAAAAACAGCATGCATGTAAAACGTGGTGTCTTTTGACTAAGTAGAACAAGCGGTTGAATTAACATACACTACATACGAGTAAACTCCTGAAAAGAACTGTGTCACTTTATATATGTATATAGAAGTTTTAAGTCTGTTTATTTACGAGATCAGGGATATATACAAATCTGAATAAAGTCAAGAGGTATTTCAATACTCTGGCTCGAATGTTTACAGTAATTCTAACCGTACGTGCATGTGAAATTTTATCACAAAATTAGTTGGATTTATTTATTCATTTTATTGTGAAGATATATCTAAATTTATATTTTAGTTTAGTGACAAGTATATCGTTTGTTCTTTTTTAAACCACACTTAAATGAAATGTACATGTATTAAAGTAATCATAGATAATTCTATACTCGTAAAACTTTACACCAACGTAATTAAAAAAAACTTGAACTGAGACCCATCCAAAGTATTAAACATTTCTGTTTTCATGTTTATATTTTAAACGTTTCAGGCAACGACTGTCCAATATGCTGGGAGAGAATGGATTCGAACAACGAACTGAAAGCAAAACTCGTCTGTCAACATGGTAAAACTACACTGTCATTTGTTTGGGGACAACTTTCTTTTTCCCAAAATTTAATATAAAAAATAAACTATATATACCAACAACAATAATTATTTCAGTGTTCCATTTCCGGTGCTGGGAGAAATATTCCCGGACAGCCCAGGTTCCGTCCGTCTGCTGTCCTTTGTGTCGAGCCATACCCATCAAATTCCCAGGAGTGGAGCGAATCAAGTCCGACTTTAAAATTTTCATTGACCGCTTCAGGTGTTTTACACCCCGCAGAAATCCTCCCGACAGCACAGGTAATTTCTTTGGACGTTTAGTAATATCAATTCTTGTATTTCAAGCTACATGTATTTAGTAAATATTCAAAAATTTAAACGGGTATATAAGGTCAGCAATAAGTGATATAAGAGCACTAAAAAGACGCACCATAACAACAGATATTTATTTTTCAACAATATTGTATTCAGAATATCACCATTCTGCAGTTTTATTTCATCTTTATTTTATTTCATTTTAATCATCGTCTCATACCTTTTCATTTGAATTCTTAGGAGTGGCGATGATCGATGTTTGATCCCCTCCCCCCAACTACCCAGAGAGATTTTCTGTGCAACTTTATCAAGCAGCACTGGATGGTCAATTCTCCATGTCTAGTCAGGCTCTCAGAAGTACATGTATTTAATTATTGTGCAAAATAAGAGGCTTTAGCTATACATACTTAGCTCTTATTCAAGAGGACGTTGTCTTTGATGAAAATTTTCAACTGTAGGTTTCCAAAGAACCGCATATCCACCCCCACCCCCTATGATTTTGCCTGAATTCAGAGGGGTCTGTATACCGGTATTTATTTTAATACTTAGTAGCAATTGACTACTTAACGAGCTCGCAAGACTCGACATATGTATTTTTTATGGATGTACCTTAAATAAGGAAGCTTTGGAAACGTCCCCAATTTATATCTACTGTCCCACGGAGAACACTTTGTAAGAGTGTTTACTATAGATTTGTTCATTCACTGGTGCTATAGAATTTGATTCGGTCTTGTTATTCTCGCTGCTGATTATAAAATACCACTGATATTTTACAAAATGTAAATAGGCAATATATACATGTATAAATGTACTTATTGTACTATGTACATTATAGACCGGTGGGCCTTTTTAATGTGATACGTACATGAATATAACAGGGTATGTATACCTCTGTACTATTTTTGGTGATGATGCAATTCATGACAGGCCTATGACCTCTGTGATATAGAGGTCACCTATTACTTGTTCAGATGTTAAGGAGATTTTTGAGTTCACGGTTGTCATTCCATTTATATTTCAGTTTACAGTTTTTATACATTGTTATGATTTTTAATAAATTTTTCTACTTTTCTTAAAAACAGCCTTGTTCTTTTTTTTTTGTGTCTTGAAATCAGAAAATATATCTTGAATGGCTACTTTGAAACTGACCCAAAGTTTGTAATAGAGGAAAGTGGGCCTTGACAACACAACACTGTAAAGGATCAGCAGACCGGAAGTCTCTGATGGATACTGTATAGCTCTATTGGTTTATACTTATACAAAGGAAGAGAAGTCATCGAACTAGAACTTTGCAAAAGCAAATACTGTGTATTCACAAATTTTCGTGGGGGGTTAATTTTCATTGTTTTCAAGGCATGAAGGGACCTACGAATTTATGTCCACCACAAAATGAAATTTACACATATTATATTACTGAAAAATTCAACCACGAAATCAAATCCCCATAAAAAAAATATTTTCCTCAAACCACGAAAATCTGACCCATGTAAAATATGTGATTTTACAGTAAACAGAATAATGATCACTGGTTTGGTCTCTTTTTGTGGCAAAATTTATAGCAAACAACATATATATACAGAATTTTACAGACATTTCGATTTTAGTAACCAAAAGAAAATCATTCATCAAAAAAAAAAAAAAAAAAAAAAAAAGATCATTATATATTTCATATAAATTAATATTTCAGTAACCATGGAACATTGTTGATTGATTTTTTTTTCTTTTAATTATACATCTATTTGACCATTAAAACTATAAAAATACCGTTTGTATTGTACAATTAAATTTCTCCATTATGCCTAGGAGAAAAAACATTAATTTTAAAACAACATTTTTCAACAGAGCCACCCACCTCAAAAGCCGTGGTCACATGGGGGGGGGGGGGGGGGGGGTTAAGCACTCTTTCATTATAAATTGCACTTGTTTTTCTGCTAAATACCAAGGAGCAATAATAAAAAAAAATGCATTTTCACTACCAGGGATATATAATTATTTTTACGGCATTACGTTTTTTAACTGATTTACATTTTATACAAGAGGTCCATGGGCCTTATAGGTCACCTGAGTATTAACAACTTTCCAACAATTGAATTTGGTTCATATTTTTTTTAAAAAAAATTATCTTAAATGGTTGATTAATACCAAAGAGTAGATTTCAAAGCATTAATTTATTTTCTCCCCAGGTACCCTGAAATTAACCATTTTGAAAGAGATATCTTTCTTCGTCATTAACATATAATTAAATCATTGGCACAATACCCAGGAGCAAAGAAAAGGATTTTCAAAGAATTCATGCATTTTCACTATATAATCATCAGAGCCCCGTCCTAACACCAGAACTCCTGACCCGGGGGCCCTGAAATTCACAAATTTGGAAGAAATATCCTTCCTCATCATAACTATGTACATAGTTCATTGGTTTCCAGGAGCAGAGATTTTTAAAGAATTTATGCATTTTCACTATATAATCAATGGAGCTCCACCCTAACACCAGAACCCCTGCCCCTGGGGTCATGAAATTCACAATTTTGGAAAAGACACTCTTGCTCATTATAACTATGTACTTGGTTTATTTATATAATACCCAGGAGCAGAGAAGAAAATTTTAAAATATTTTATGCATTTTCACTATATAATCAATAGAGTCCCGTCCCAACACCAGAACTCCTGACCCTGGGGCCATGAAATTCACAATTTTGGAAGACACAGCCTTATTCTACATAACTTCATACTTGGTTAGTTTATTTAATGACCATGAATACAGAAGATTTTCAAAGAAATAATGCATTTTCACTATGTAATCTATTTAGCCCCGCCCTAGCACTAGAACCCCTGACCCCGGAACCATGAATTTCAAAATTTTGGTAGAGGACTCAATGCTGATTACAATCATGGCAACAGTTTGACTGCTTGATGTCCAGGAGTAAAGAAGATTTTAAAAGATTGCATAAATTTAGTGGTTTTAGCCCCACCCCTAAGGGACAGGGACCATGAATTTCAGGATTTTTGACATAAAGTGATATTTGCTGAATTGTTTCAAATTAAATTAATAGTTCTAGATTAATTTAGTAAAAATATCCATCTCAAAAGTCAGGCATAAAAACATTAAAATTAAATTATAATGAATTAAAACAAGCCCACTATTTCTCGTGTTTATCACTGTGATATACGCGAGCCATCGACAGGTGAATGTACGAGTCGATGGTAGAGAGTGCCTTGCTAATCAAAACTATAATATACACTTCGTTTGTTTGCCCTAAAACACAGGACAGTTTTCCCCCAGAAATAATGCATCTTTACAGAGTCAACCGCAACCAGAACCCCCGATCCAGAGGCCACAAATTCCACTATTTATGAGAGAAAAATATTTGCTTAACAACACTATGCACTAAAATCTGCTAAACACCCACAAGCAGAAAAGAAGCTTTGAAACAAGTTTTACTACCTTATCAATAGAGAACCACTATAACACGAGATCCCTGAATTATATACCAGGCACGTAGCAACAGGGAGGGGGGCACTTTTCCCCCAACATTACTTATATTATAGGAAATGTTCATTGAAAGGCTGGTTGGCCCCCCTACCTTTTTGTGATGTAAGGAAATGTAGTATAAAAAAGTTTGGTACTGAAAAAATTTGGCATTGGAAAAAAAGTTGGCCTCTGCCCCACTCCCCGAAATAGGATTTCGACTTTGGGAATTTTTTTTAATTTTATTTTTTGCATGTCAACTATTTAAGGTAAGTAAAAAAAAAAATTCTCTGGCTGCCCCCCCTTTCAAAAACGATGCTACGTGGCTGTATACTGATTTTCCTGATCATGAGTTTGCGTGAGTTCGCGGAGAAGTGGTGAGCGCGCTATTTGAAACCAATCAAACTTTCACTCCTTTTTTTCAATTAAATGGTACCTCATATTGAAAAATATACAGCTTTTTTATTTTGATTATGTGATAGACTCTTTATTAAAATTAGAGATCCATATTTGTCATAATTCTGATTTCTATAAGTTGAATATACTTTTGAGCTTGAAAACTATTCCTTACATACATGTATTTTATCCCTTATCCAAGGGGCCATGAAAGTCACAACTTTGATCTCAATAATATCCGAACATCCATTATATGCTGATAATACAACTAGGCTGAAGAAATAGTTTGTATACTTCACGTCGCCTTACGTCACTCGTGAATTCCATGACATATTAAAAAGGAGCCAGAGATTTTCAAAAGAAATGATGGACTTTCACAAGACTTGTATATCCCAAGCAAAACCTGATGCTGGGGCCGTGAATTCCATTATCTTTAATTGTCTATTATACACCTTACTGTTTCTATTTCAGGCCACTTGAGTCACTCAGGTAATCTTTTTTTAATGGCCTAAAATAGAAACAGTATTAAAGGTGTGTGATAGACATAAAAACAGTAATCCTTCTGCCAAAATCATGAGTTGGTAACTGTGCAATATTTTAACAAAGAAAGCTAGCAGTTCAGTATTATAATATTATAACCAAGAAAACATTTACAAATATCAGCATTTTTAGTATTTATTGCACAATGCGATGTTTGAAGTCTTTGAATTTACTTTATACATGTATACAGAAATTTACTGTCATCTAAAATTAGACAAGATAAAATACATACAGATTAAAACATGGGTCAAATAAAACAGACATTAAAATGAGATGATGAGGAAAACCATCTCTCTGACAAGATGAAGCTGCCTTCGTGTGTGTGGAGTGTGCTGGCAGACATTGCCTATAACACACCACTGATGTCCACTAACAATGCATTGTCTATCAGAAATTGTACAAAGTTAATGTAACCTAATCGCATATACAACTGCATTAAAATAAATATAATGACAAGTTGTAATTATCTAAATCATTACATTGAATCATATCTCTTAACACTTATTTGTCAAAATATACATTATGAATGTTTCCTAAAACACTTTCTCTGTATAATGTACACAGATTTTTTGTAAGCTTCAAATTTTTTTTTTTTTATTATGTTGCAATTAATTATTTTACATAAAAAATAAACTTGAATAAAATATTTAAAAACCTAACCATACAAGGTTTGATGAAAGGGTAATGAATTAAGAAAACAGATTCCAAAAATATCACATTGTTGGTTTATGTTCATATAAAAGTTCAATAACTGTAGAAAAATGAGAGAGAAAAAAACTTGACAACAAATGGTTTTAAGTAATGATGTCACTGTACCATTATAGATATGTACTTTCTGACCAGTCACACAACATACATGATAAAGTGTTGTAGTACTACTATATATATGAATGACCTCAGCAGATGAGCCCAAACTTTGGACCTTTGTCTATATAAATGTCCCCAAACTCCTGCGGCTGCTGAACCTCTATGGCCTGGTACTTCTTCAGAACTAACAGAGTATAGAATTTTGAGCATGCCTGTTTTCTGTTCAAGTTTCTAGACATTTCTTTAAAGCTGAGAGTGTTCTTGTATCTAAATGCTACATCCAGTGAATGCTGCATTAACTGAGTTCTCTTTGTCCATCTCTTTTCCTCTTGTTCTTCATTTTCTGGCATGGCGTCATTGTCAACCTCTGCTTCTACGTTGAATGACTGAAGAAAAAACAATAAAATTATAATATGGTTCGGAAAACATGTTTCTTTACATATTTACTCAACTTCACCTTCTACAACTGATATGAAAGATACAGAATACAATGATTTATAAAAATAACTTTGTTATATAAATGAGAGAGAACTTCAAGTTGACCGACATACAATACAAACAGCACATGTATTTACAAGCATATGTAAACATATAACCAATACCACAACCCTTTATCTTTCCACTGGAAATAATTAATGAGAACATATAAGAGTAACTTACCGGTGCATCGTGTGGCAGTACTGAGGGAGGGGGGACAGATTGGGGAGGGACACTGGGAGGGGGCACAGAGAACGGAGCAATAGAGGGCGGCTCTGTCTCGTAGGGATCCAGATGAGGGTTCAGCAGGGAAGGTGGTCCCCCAGGTAAGTCTACCGGAGCCTCTGTGAAGGTGTTGGAGAACTGTGGATTTGTTGTGTTGTTCAGTGAGAGGTCAGGCTCCCGCGAAGGGGTAGGTACGGGTTTGGGTGATTTCAGGGACGGCCTCTCCCGGCGTTTTGAACGAGTGCTGGCCGTGGATTCCTCCAGAACTGATGGTTCCTCTATGATAGTACTGACTTCCTGAATGGGTGCTGCAGATCTCTCTGTTAAAAACAAATACAATGATTAACAAAACACTTTTCCTATTCAATTTTTAGTTAGTAAAGCTAAGATACTTCAAAATTGGTCCCTTAATATCATAATTTCTGATAATGTTTTGCAAACTGCACATAAAACATAATAAATTTTTAACACTAAGGCCAAAAATAAAATTAGCTTTGTTTGGCGTTGCCGGCCAACTCAGGTAAATCGGTGCGGTCCAAAGAATTTTTTCAGCTGATACGGATCATAATTTTTTTTTTGTTTTATATATCTGGGTTTAGGTGTCTATATTTTATTAGTAATATACATAATGAGAAAGAATCATGTAAACCCTTGATTGATCGAACAATTTTGATTTAAAAGCGTCTATTTGATGTTCAATATGCATGTCACCAATCCAAGCATGGCTGTCGAATGCGGTAAACTCTGTGTAACAGAAGTTGATGGCATGACTCTCCATGTTTGTAATAGCAAAACCATATTGACTAATCAATTATACCAGTTTGAATTAGAAATTTCAAGGTACAATGTCCTGTCCGATTTGCTAGATGAATCTAGCGGCCATGCTTGAATTTGTGCATATGAAAACAACTTTATGCCAATTCAAAATCTGTGATTTTTATGCCATGTATATTAAAGGTTCAAAACTTAATAGGGTTTGAAAATAAATAACAACTGGGAATCAATTCGGACTGTAGTTGTTGTTAAACAATCGGAAACCCAAGACGCCCGGAAACTAACTTCATTTCTGAAATTGAAAAAAAATATTCCCTTACCTACCGACTCAAACGTATTAAGGTTGAGTCGGCAACGCCAAACCAACAATATTTTAATTGTGGCCTTAGACAACATTAGAATGACATTTTAGTTGTGATTTCCATGCAATCAGGGGCTGCATTTCATTTCCGGAATTTTTGGTAATTATCAACTTTTCATTTCCGACATTTTTTTCATTTCCGACATTTTTAAAATGCATATGTAGTACCTATAGTAACAGATTTGATAACTTTACTTATGAAAAATTTAAGGAAATAAATCATTGAAATCCAATTTTGTAAATCTATCAGTGACTTGGACATAAGTATGGTGCTGGCACTGACATTTAATTTAGTGCACATTAAATGTGGTGAAAAAGTTTAATGCTCATTGAACTCTTTTACCTAGACTTAGCGCTACATGTATGCACATATGCATAGATGTTTTTTTTTTTTTTTTTTTTTTTTTTTTTTAATTTTTATTGATATTTTGATATACATGTAAATACTTTTAAAATTCCATTTTCTTTTACTTAGAAAACATTGAATTGCCGCACAGGTAAATTCTGGAAATGAAAAAAAAATTATGTCGGAAATGAAAACCAAAAATGTCGGAAATGCTATGCATATTTACGGAAATGAAATGCAGCGCAATCAGGTGTTATGACAGTGAAGGGTATATTTATACAATAGAGCTGAATATGGCTTTTTTTTCAGTCATGATCAGATACAGAGAATAAAAAAATTACCTTGTTCCTCCCTCAGAATTTCAGTAGCCTCTAGATCTAATTTATCCTGATCTGACTCTTCTTCTTCCTTCACTTGACGAGTGATCAAATTCCGAGAGAACAACTGTAAAAATTATACAAAAGTATAAAAATTCAATTATATAATAGATCATATTATCCAGCTAAAAAATCTTTCAAGAAAATTTAGTTTCCAAACCAAAGGAAAAAGCACTAGCTGATTACTGAAGTACAACATATGATAGCAGGGGTTCAAATTTTTTTTTGGTCATGGTCAAGTCCAGGCCTTAAAGAGTAAATTTTAGGCAAGTCCGAGGAAGAAATTTCAGAGTCCATATTTACCTATACATCATTAAATTTATGTTACTTATAATTTATTTTCATTTGTTGCATTGAATGAATAAAGACTATATGTATTAATATATGTTTTATTTTTCCTCCATAAACTGTCATATACATGAGTATTTCAGCACAATACCAGACTAATAGATTATTGGTACATTACAATAACTTTACAAATACTCACTACTGAATAAATCATCTGTTACAATAAATAGAAATTAGAATGTGCTGTAAGTCACAGCTATGACTCATTGACTGTTTACAATTTGACGTTTTGTCATATAGGAGGAAACATGAGGTTGCGTAGAAGCAAGAGTCTAACCGCAACGGAAAATAAAAAGACAGATCATATTCTCGAAACGTTCGTAATGTTTTATGGGTATCTTAATGCCCATAAACCCACATTTTTACTTCATACATTTGAGAATTTGCTTTATTTTTAGCTTTACGATAATTTTTTTAACTTAAAAATACATAGCAAAGTCCCAGGACTTTGGCGAATTCCAAATGCCGAGTCCGGATCCGGAATTTGTTAGTCCGGGACGTCGGGCTTGAGGAATTTTGAACCCCTGTGATAGGAGTGTATATATTACCTTAGAAGCAGTTTTGGATATGATGGCTCGTCCTGGAAGTCCAAACAGCTTTTCTACACCTCCCGTTTCCTTCCAGTGCATCAGTTTTTTGGTAGGTGGGGCCAGATCTAGTGTTGTTATGATGTCCGAGGTATCTGACAACTGTAGCTTCATTGTCTCACTAGGGAACCCTTTCTGTTCATCAACAATCAGTTTCCTTTTCCTCTTCTTCTTCTCAGCGCCAGGGAAGAGTGTAGCATCTAAGGGAGGTAATGCGAAAGCTTCCTCCTCATTGTTGATCAGTGTGGTTTGTTCCCCTGACGTGCCCGGGGCGTTGTGAATCATGGTAGGCTCTGTAGCTGATGTTGTGTTGGTCGTCTCATTATTCTGAGCATCTTTATCTTCTGTAACGAAGAAGAAAATTGATAAAGCAAGTCATTTAATATTGATTTCACCATTCTCAAAACAAACTTGAATTTTTAAGTATGAAATAACTCATGAAATGTAATTTAGGTTCAGCAATGTCTACCAATAAGGTGCATTTGATTCCATTATCCAACCTTAACTTTGTTTTGTACTTTCTTCAGTTTCACGTAAGCATGATGTTTGTAGAGTGGACAATGAGACAGAGTGGACAATGAGACTGACCTGCTGGCTTTTCAGCTTCCAGAGGAGCTGGCATTGAGACTTCTCCCACTGGTAAAGGAGCATCCTCAAACAAGCCTCCTCCATTCATAAAGTCATTGCCTGTAATAGAATAGCATATTATCCTTTTCAATCTAGATTTTATCTAATCTTTAAGTGACAACCTCTACATTGAATTCAATTTAACATTATCCCAAATGCTCAGTATGTATTTAAATAGAAGAATTTGTACAAAAGGTCAAGACTATCCCTTTATGCTTATAATGTTCTATAAAGGATAATCAACAGTATCTTATGCCCACTGTGCTCTATAGGCAACTCCAAATTTATACTTATATACATTTCCTTACATGTATTTCAACACTGTAAAAAGTCAATCAATTTTGCTGTTTTTCAATGGATGAATTTTTTATACTTCATTAGAACAAAAATAAAATGATCTCTAACCATGATAGCAATAAAGCATTCTGAAATTCTGACCAAAGGAGACATGTCACTTTTAAGCCACTGCTTCCTCTGAAGATAAAAGAAGCAACTTCTTACCGAAGAATTCCTGATCAACCCCACCTCCAAATCCTCCATCATCATCATCATCATCATCATGCTCATGGTCATCATCTTAGGCGTAAAACAAAACAATTCAAAATCAACACAAACAATATGGAAACTCTTTGCAATGCCGTTGTATTTTACAACTAGATAGGAATTTTTTTTATAAGGCTCAACATCATTTCCATTTTGTCTAGGGTCTTCTTTTTTCTTGATTGGAGAAAGAGTAACCATTGATTAAATTCAACATACACCAAATAAATAATATAAAACAACTGTCCAGAAATAATAAACAAAGAATGACAAATAGCAACAGCCCTTACCCATGAATCCCCCGTCCACTGCCCCTCCAAAGTCGTCATTATCCACCACTGGATTCAAATCCACATCCATTGGTTTCTCAGACGTGTGCTCGTTCAGAGTTTTCTCCTCGGCTTCCACCGGACGAATGCTGCTGCGATTGGTATACAAGGAGTCATCAATTTCAGAGTCATCTCTTAGGATCTCCCTATCATCAAAGCCAACATCTCCTACAACACACAGAAAATTGCTTTAGTTTAACATGACAAAATATGATATTTAATAAAAAAAAAAATTTCCTTTATATGATTTTACTATTGACTTAAAATTATTTGAATACATATATAGTCCTGTAAATACCGTATAACTGGATTTTTCTACGGGGTGCTATTTTTTTGCAAAATTCTGCGATCAAGTCTTAATCGCAAAAAATACGTAAATAAAATCCGGAATTTTCAGTTGCGATCATCGAAGGTCTACTTTTACAGATACCGGAAGTATAAATAATGTGGCTATTACTTGATATCAACAACAATGATTGTTTTTCGAATAAATAAAACGAATTCCTAAAGATTCAATATTTATTTGCTCCTACATTGTATTTCATGATTTATTTATATGAAACCCGAATAGCAATTGTCGGTTTGGCTATTCCGCGGCTTGATCGGGTCCTTCACCAGTGTTTACCAGATTTCTTGTGTAATATTTCCCATACTGGGATTATATAAACTCTTCATAATCATAAATGAAAGTTCATAGTCAATGGGAACTTACTGAAACGAACTTCTATAAATTAATTTCAAAGAATTATCGTCTCGGTTTCAATTCAAAATAATTGTGACTTTGTTTCTAATTTACCCTGTGAATAATAACCCATTAATTATAACAACATACGGACGACCCACAGGTGTAGTGTCATCTATGTAACAGCCCAAGGCCTTCACTGTTTCCAGGGAAGTCCAGACTGCATCTATTTTACGCTTGATTGGCGTGTATACAAGCGCAATCAAAATTTCGAGAGATAGAGAGTAAAATTCAATGAAATATGTGTAATTGGACCCAGGTTTTGGTTCGAGAGATAGAAATTCGAAAGATCAGGAGTAAATTTGCTTAGTTATATAGAGGAAAAAACGGGGCCGGAGGTTCACTTCGAGAGATCGGAGTTCAATCCATCGAGAGTCAAATTGCTTTGGTTTGTTCAATAAAAAATAAAAATAGACTTTATTGTTTAAATGTCTAGTAATAAAATTCAATAAAAATAGACTTTATTGTCAAAGTGAAATCGCAAAAATTAAAATCGCAAAAAATAAATATACCTATTTCAGAATCAAATCGCAAAAATTTGCACCCGCATTAAAAACCAGTTATACGGTAAGTATTATTAGAACATAAATTGTTCCTACAAGAAATAGATTTGAGCTTTCACAATATAACAATTCTACAAATCAAAACATTAGAGTAAAATAAATGGGGCACATTCCATACCCCCATTAAAAACTGTATGAAGTTAAAAAACTCTGGTTGGGCTTATAGAAATCTTCAAAATTAATTTCTACTATGTATTGAATACTATAAATCTACTCATGCAAGCTAAACAATATACAACTGTGGATATCTTCCAAATGGTAAAACACGCAAAAAAAAATTATGTGGATGTCTTCCATGATAAATGCTCTTACTTTGAAATATTAATTTTAATAACGTAAATATTTCCTTAATATTTATAGCTTCACCTATAAAAGGTCCTCCTGGTTAAATACAAAAAGTTCAACCATAGAGAGATTACCAAAATTAAAGATACAAATCCTTCCAAAAGATCATCTTTTCATTTACTAAATCATGTTTTAATATCATGTGTTCACAAATAAAAAGTATCAGATTTCAGGTGTAATATTATACAATGCTGATTTACTGACATTAAGTGTCTATGGCAAGCCGTTAAGTATAAATATTCCCAAGAAATATAGAACTTACCAAATCCATCATCCCCCACAAAGGCTATACTAGAGAGATCCTCTCTCATTGTGATGTCTTCTGGGCGACTCTGATTGACCGAAAACTGAGCATGCATGTCAAGATCACTGAAAAATAATAGTCAAAAGGTTCCGTGATACAGGCATATATAAAGTTTTAAAATTGACTCATTAAAATAAACAGGTTTTGTTCTTGATACGAAAGCTTTCACCTTCACATTAAATTAGTTTTAGGTTGCTCACATAGTTTAGCAGAACAAAGGAAAATGTGCACTTTTACAAGGCTCGACATTAACGCTTGTTTGGTACTAATGAAAAATAAATACGGACAAGTGAATATTGTTGGGCACTTGTCCGATTGGACAAGTGCATTTCAATGTAAAGGAGTCTCTAAATAACAGGCTTGGGGCGAATTACATTGAAAGTAATGCATTACCATTACCATTACTTCAACAATTTGGGCATTAAATTACCATTACCATTACTCTATTTTCTTAAAGTAATGCATTACATCACCATTACTTTAGTAAAGTAATGCATTACCATTACCATTACTTTTGGAGGTTTTTAAAAATAGAATTTTATACAAAACTTTGCGATGTGTTTTTCAAATTTTTCAAATTTAGTAAATAATAATAAAAAGAACGACTGTTGAAAGTTAGTTTCAAGATGGAAGCTTTACATGAAATCCATACTTCGATCCCGATATGTATCTCTATATTTTAATTTAGATCACATTCGATCGGGATCAAAGTTCACAAATTGCATACTACTGAAAAGTCATGGAAGATACAAACCGAAGTGTGGATTGTTTGATGCTGACAGGTTCACTTGTGGACATTTATGTTATTGTCAGGACAGAAAGCCTAGATTAAATTTCGTTCTATGTGTTCGTTGTATTTATCAATAACACAACGAATCAACCAAGCGCATGACACGTGTAATGGACTTTATTTTAATTTTCAAGTTGAAACTATTTAACTTTATTTAAAAATTTTCGGACAAGTGAAGTTGAAGTTCAGACAAGTAAATGTCTTGGTCACTTGTCCGAATGGACAAGTAGGAAAAAAAGTTTATGTCGAGCCCTGCTTTTAGATCTGACAATAAATATGTATCTCCAAACCCCCATTTATCAAAAGAAAAAAATATCCTGAAGTTGTTTAAAGAGCAAAGTTTAAATCTTTTAGAGCAATGTATTAATTCTTTGTTAGAACTAGATACTTGAGATCAGCCAGAGTGGTGTCAAAGTCATGGAAGTTCTCCTGTAGTGTGATGGCAGCCACCGCAGCCTCGCGGTTCTCCTCTGGTAAGTCTACCACTCCAGGGCGGAAAGCCATCTTAATCTTCACAAAGGCTTCATTGCAGTCAGCTAACAAGTACTTAGCCTTACGGGAATAAATTCTCACCACTCCCAGCAACAAGTGGCCTGATGTTCGCAGTGCTAGTTTGACCTTCAAAAGCAAAACATACATTTAAACATTGATCTTTACATTTACATCCTGAAGACAAAGTTCAGCTAATTTACTTTCAAGTTAATGCATCAATTACAGATCCAAAAACCTTTCAGTAAACAATACCTTAGGCTGCATAATTGCCTCCACACTGCTGTCTATATTGGTTTCAAACACATGAGCTTTGGTGAGCTTCTTGTCCCAGTGAGCAGCCAGCCAAATTCGGGCCAAAGGACCCTTCTTACTCAAGACAAAATGAGCATAAAACATTGTGCTGTGTGCAGTATATTTCCACTAGATCCTGAAAAAAAAAAGCCAACATTAGTATGATATTGAACCACTGAAATCGAAATAATAATATTCAATAATTTGAATCTTTCGTGTAAATGGATTGTCACAGGGTAGGACTAGCCATTTACTGATAAAATTATAATCAGCAATTCTATTCAATCCACATCTTTCATAGCTCCAACTGTAGCTGTTTGAGTAAATTCGGACAGACAAACAAGTGAAGGACAGTTCAGTTCCAAGCATTTTACAAACCTCTGATTAATGAGGACACCTTTTTATCACATACTAAGAGTACTGTTTTTTTGCATGTTTCCCCCAGGCCTCTCACACTTTTTTGGGAATGAGGTCAGGGCCAAAAAGATTGAGAAAATAGCAACTTTTTGAGAAATTTTAGAATAACCTACTAAAATCATGATTTAATGGGTTTGTCTTTCTGAACAGAATTTTTGTTTTGCATGCAGAGGAATATGTGTAGCAAGTTAAGTTATTATATATCAAACTATAATTTTCTTTATTTTGGAGAGAAATGACTTGGGAAAATGAAAACATTTCATTGTGGTAAAAAAGGTACCTTTCATAAATGGGGATTGGGCTCTTGAACTGCCCCAATTATAGACAATCAAGAGCCCCATTTTCCACTAAATTATTGACTAGAGGTGTAACAATACAGCAATACATCGATACAAATTATCACAAGGTCTCACGATACGCATATCGTATCGCCATGTATGTATCGTGATACAGTACAAGTTAATGTTCATTGTCTTATTTTAAAATTCTTTCAGGGCTCTCACACCCATTTTTGGTACTGGGGCCGGGGCCAATGGAATTGGGAAAAAAGCGATGTTTTTACAAAATAGGGAAAATTTTACCAGTCATAATTTAAACACTTAAAACAAGAAAAATCAAATAAACACAGAAGAATTATAGAAACTGAAACGAATTATAATCATTGTCTTAGTAAAAACAAATTCTACAGTACTGCAGGGATCAAAATGAACTTTTTAGACCACTAGAATTTCAGCTAGCAGATTTATTTTTACTAGCAAATTGTGATATTGAACTATCGCTAACATTTTTTTCTTCTCTAATAATAATTAACATAAGAATTATTTAATTAATTAAAAAAAAATTATTTACACATGTACCTCTTGTAAGCATTATGGTCATTTAACAAACGATGAAATATGAACTGATAAATACACTGGAAATATATTTCTTTGGAAATTACGCTAGTTGATTAAGTGATTGTAAATAATTAAATTGGGCATCTACATGTATTTCGCATAAACAAAGGAATGGAGGAAATTCGGATTAGGAAAAAACGATCGTTTTTTTTAAATAAAGTACTGTTTTTTAAATTGATAAGATTGAGGAGATTTACGAACTGTAGGAGCATGGTACCTAATATTTTTTTCATTGTTTGGGAATTTAATAACAAAACAGTGAATAAAAATACCTGTAGTGTTTCCCATGGGTAATCTTAATTTTAAGACGTTTTTTTACAAGGTGGCGACCACAGGTGCGTTTAACTCGCATCTTCTGTTTTAATCTCGCATTTACCGAGTATTTTCCGTTGATTTCGAGCCCTGACATAATAGTACTTCGTATTATGCGACAATTGAATAAACAGAAGAGAATATGTAATTTACTTCAGGTGACTTTCACTTATGACTTTCATACTAAACTGGTTCCAGCATATATACAAACTATCAGTTTACATCACGAAAGTGTTTTCTTCATATCTTCACAGTCCTTTTACGACTGTTAAAGATATGCTTTTTATTTTTTTTTTTACAGTACTGTAATAAATGTCAAGCAATCATACATTGGGAATTTTTACACTCAAATTTGGGAAAAAACGTGCCTTTTTCACGTTGGGAACGGGGCCGAATATCGGCCCCAATTAAAGAGAATCGAGAGCCCTGTCTTTATCAAAACTGTGAAATTTAATGTTACAAAATGATTGAAAACAAGGTAACAATGAAAAAATATAATGCTAAGACTATATGCCCTCCTCTAAATAACTTTGATTTTGGGTCTCAAGATAGTTTTTTTTAAAATATTTTCTTTAACTGCGGAGGTTAACAAGCAAGAATACTTAAAGATATCATTAATTTTAACTGTTGACAGCTGTATCATGATACATGTTGTATCGCAAGACCATATCATGATATGTATTGTATCGTTAGATAGCTTGCGATACTCAGGCCTATTATTGACCATATATTTAAGGGTGCGTAGATTTACCCAAATGGACCCAAATGGAAACAAATGGACCCCAAATGGAAACTCAAATGGACCCAAATGGAAATCTAATGGACCCAAATGGAATATTAAATATATATATTAACGTATTTTCAAGTTGATACTTATTCAAAATATTGAAAATAATGAACTTAACGAAAAGAGAATATTTTAATATTATTATTTTCTTAAGTTCTAGTTGAAAAAATACGATATTTTTTCTAATTGTAATAACTTTTGCACATAATTGAATACAAAACTGAAATATATAGTTTACATGGCCGCACGAACGGAGTAGGGGGGGGGGATGCCCCCTCCCACCCCCATCCCCACCCCAACAATTTTGCCGATATATAGAATAAGATCAAACAAGAGGCCCATGGGCCACATCGCTCACCTGAGAAGCTTTGACCATTCTGTTCTTTACCAGATTTCCCCCTTGTTATACATAATGCATACCCACCCTACCCCACTGATCATAATTTAGACATTTTGAAATCTACACTACCCCATGATCCTTCCATGGGCACATATGTTTCAGCTTTTTTGGCCCAGTGGTTCCCGAGAAGAAGATTTTCAAAGATTTTTCCTATATATTTCTATGTAAAACTTTGATTCCCTATAATGGCCCCGCCCTTCCCCCGGGGGTCATGATTCCTACAATTTAGAATTTACACTACCCCAGAATGCTTCCACATAAGCTTCACTTTTTCTGGCCCAGTGGTTCTTGAGAAGAAGATTTTCAAAGATTTTTCCTATATATTTCTATATAAAACTTTGATTCCCCATTGTGGCCCCGCCCTTCCCCCGGGGGTCATTATTTGAACAATTTAGAATCTACATTATACCAGGATGCTTCCACATAAGTTTCAGCTTTTTTGGCCCAGTGGTTCCCGAGAAGAAGATTTTCAAAGATTTTTCCTATATATTTCTATGTAAAACTTTGATTCCCTATAATGGCCCCGCCCTTCCCCCGGGGGTCATGATTCCTACAATTTAGAATTTACACTACCCCAGAATGCTTCCACATAAGCTTCACTTTTTCTGGCCCAGTGGTTCTTGAGAAGAAGATTTTCAAAGATTTTTCCTATATATTTCTATATAAAACTTTGATTCCCCATTGTGGCCCCGCCCTTCCCCCGGGGGTCATTATTTGAACAATTTAGAATCTACATTATACCAGGATGCTTCCACATAAGTTTCAGCTTTTCTGGCCCAGTGGTTCCTGAGAAGAAGATTTTCAAAGATTTTTCCTATATATTTCTATGTAAAACTTTGATACCCCATTATTGCCCCGCCCTTCCCCCGGGGGTCATTATTTGAACAATTTAGAATCTACATTATATTATGATGCTTCCACATAAGTTTCAGCTTTTCTGGCCCAGTGGTTCTTGAGAAGAAGATTTTCAAAGATTTTTCCAATATATTTCTATATAAAACTTTGATTCCCCATTGTGGCCCCGCCCTTCCCCCGGGGGTCATTATTTGAACAATTTAGAATCTACATTATACCAGGATGCTTCCACATAAGTTTCAGCTTTTCTGGCCCAGTGGTTCTTGAGAAGATTTTCAAAGATTTTTCCTATATATTTCTATATAAAACTTTGATTCCCCATTGTGGCCCCGCCCTTCTCCCGGGGGTCATGATTTGAACAATTTAGAATCTACATTATATCATGATGCTTCCACATAAGTTTCAGCTTTACTGGCCCAGTGGTTCTTGAGAAGAAGATTTTTTAATGACCCAACCCTATTTTTGTCTTTTCTTGATTATCTCCCCTTGCGAGGAGATATGTCCCTTCATTTTAACAATTTACATTCCCCTTCACCCAAGGATGCTTTGTACTAAGTTTGGTCAAAATTGGCCCAGTGGTTCTTGAGAAGAAGTCGAAAATGTGAAAAGTTTACAGACGGACAGACAGACAGACGGACAGACGGACGGACAGACGGACGGACGACGGACAAAATGTGATCAGAAAAGCTCACTTGAGCCTTCGGCTCAGGTGAGCTAAAAATAATTCAATTTCATGTCTAAAAATACAATGTTAGAGATTAATAATAAATATAAAACTCCATTTGTAACTGCAGACCTGTTTACCCATAACGCTGTCTCTCAGTATTTTTTAATGGATTTTTTCCGTGAGATTTGGCATTTGCCAGTAAGATTTCACTTTCCATCAATTTTACATATATTACAAGAGAAAAACTGCTTTTCTGATTACAAAAACATGATTTAACAACAAGGTCTTTGTCATTTAATAATACCACAGAGTTTTGGTAACCTAACATCGCTTATGTGTTTGAAATCTTTATCTTGTTTAGCAATAAAAAGGGTGAAACTAAGACAGATCATAACGGAAAATAACTGTTTAATTCCAAACTATTGTATTTCCGATTTTTGTATTTTCATAATGGCAAAACGTGAGACGTACTTTAGACTAGAAATCCGTACAAAATACGGCGAAATCGTAAGAGTAAACAGGTCTGTAACTGTAAGTTCATTTATTTTCATCATTTTAAATAAGTTATAAAATACAATAATACATATTTAATATTCCATTTGATTTCCATTTGGGTATATTTGTGTTTCTATTTGGGTCCATTTGTTTCCATTTGGGTTCCATTTGGGTAAATCGATGCGCCGTATATTTAACTCTAAATGACTAAATCTGCTATCACTTTCCTTTACTTAACTTTGTGCTTTGGAATGTCAGTTTCAAAAACTTAACATTCCAACATCAATTTTGAGGTCATGCTAACTGGGACTGTTGAAAGGTAAATGAAGTATCAAGATTACAAGTAAAATATATGGAAAGTTAACAGATATGATTCTGATATCATGCTTTTGGGGTTGGGATGCAAATATACCAGAAATTAAGTAATGCCCCTTGCTGGCATTTCAGCAATTAATTATCAAGATGCAGAATCCACTACTAGATGAATCTGAAGAACAACTTAAATACTTTCTATATATATTACACATTCTGATCACAAACATTCATCAGCTTGACATCTTCATCACACGCCGCGGAAACATGTTTGCAATGCTTAAACCGAAGATTAAATTAGATAATTTTTCTGTCATATTTAGTTTTTAAGCAATGTACTAATCCGATCTATACAATACCACTAAGGTTACCTACATTATTTCATCTATTTCGATACTGCTACAGTTTCCAGACGATAATTGCGTCCAAAATGGCGTCACTTGTTGTTTCCCGCTTCAATTTTTTCGTTCAAAAACTTTGCGGAAGAATATAGTTCGCAACATGGTCACATAATTTTATGATGTGAAGATAGGAATTTACACAAAATCATTTGTGTATACTAATTCTTTATCTTTAAAACAAATCTGAGTGAAGCTGATCATAAAAATAGAAAATTAAACGATATTTTTCAACGCACTTGCATAATTTGGGCGTAGGAATTTTATTTGTTTATAAATAAATCATTTAGCAAGTCGTTCGTAGTTAGATCGATTGGGAACCTGTCTCAACTCTCGAGTCACCCGCAAAGAAACAATGGGTATAATTATATACTGTTATCGCAAAATTACTTTGCAGACACCATAAATTAAAATTGTAGTTCTTCGAATTTGAAGCGATTTGTCCAAAACTAACTTAAGAATGATATATGGAACAACTTAACTTCACTTTCAGACGGATCCGGCGAGTTCGTCCGCTAGTCAGGTCAAACGGAACATCATGAGTTCTCCGTCTGATGAAAGCACTGGTTCATTCTGGGAAAAGATCTCTAGTTTATCTGTTATCGTCTTCTTCATTATCTCATACCTAACTTATTATCTTTTATTTGTTGTTAAGGTAAGTGTAAAATACATTTTGCGTATCTTCATTAAAAATTTAAACGGCATCGCCCTTCACAAAACATCAATCAATCAGCTGATACCTTGATGCCCTGCGTGTGCTAAAACATAATGTTTAGAAATTGTCTTTCGATGGGAAGCTGAAATTCTGTCAAGGAATTGTACGTTATTTTGGCGATCGTGTAAAAGTTTCTAAAATGAGAGTGATGAAATATTTTTGTAATAGAAAAGGAGAAAATATATGGCTAGACTAGGAATTGAACCTATGCGCCTGGCAACACTAGTACTAGTCAGGTGCTATATCGACTGAACTATCCAGGCAAATATCCACAATCCAAATCTTTCCATATTAAATCAGAATAATGAACATTAGAAAAATGTGAGGACCAGACTGTAATCTCAGCAAGATGTCGAAGGGACTAAAATTTTTGGTCTGGTGTCCCTCAACATATCTCAGTTCAGGGCCACACAAAGTGAATCTGGTTTTTTTTTGCCCCAACTTTGACCGCCTTTTTCAATCAATACAAGCTGAAATGAATTAGCTGCCTGCTTCAACTTTTTCCTGTGGACGTCCTTTTAATTCTCTATCATTATAAAACATTTGTTTCAAACCTTTAAATGGTTTAAATCCAAAAATATAAAGTTGTTGATTAATAAATGTATATTTTTTTATGGAAGCATTTCCATTTTGGAACAAGAGCTATAAAACTGAGAAAAGTTCTTTTCAGCCTATATCTTACCTCTTAACCATGTTAACTTTCTCAAATTAACAAGTTATGCTCAATTCTTGTGAATGAAAAGTGAATTCAATGAAAATTTGGCATAGAGAAGAAAAACACTTTACGTACAGTTTTTACAACTCATCTTCGTATAAATATTTGATTTGGAATTCTTAATATTAAAGGTAATGCATGAATACAAAATTAATATATTTATGTTTTACATCTATATGGTTTTACTTTTATTTTTGCAGAAACCTCGCTTAGCATGCAGAGATAAAAAATTTAAAAACTTTCTTCTGGAGTACTGTCCCATTCTCCATGAAAAATTTAAGCCAACATTTTGGTGCTTTGAATCCAGAGCTCAGACTATAATGAGAGCAATCCTGAAGTCTTCTCCACGTGTTTCCTATGAGAGGTAATAATTCCATTTGAGTTTTATTTTATTACGGTCATTTACGGATTAATTTTGTGACTTTTCAACAATAAACTTGATTTTTCTGTTTCAGTGAACTGGTTCTCTTGCCTGATGGAGGACAGTTATTACTTGACTGGTTCGATAACAGTGAGTCGGAATTTAAGGATGTAAGAACTCGCCCCACGATTCTCTTATTACCAGGACTGACAGGTGATTATTTATTTAAATCATATACCCTATAAGCAGAATTTTAAGCAAGGATTTAATTTTGGCATTATTAGTGAGAGTGCCAAGATCGCTAAAATTGAATGCACTTTACTTGTAATAGCTTCTTTAATGAGCTTTTTTAAAATCGCTAAAATTACATCTCACTAATAATAAAATACCAATTTTTAAGGACAAATTATTAAATTTGCATCTTGCTAAAATTTCAACTTACACGGTATAAGGAATTCATGGGTTTCAATAATTTTTACTGTTTTACAGGCTGGGCGCAAATTTTGAATCTATAATTTACCATTTTAGACAGAAGTCTACCACTTTTTTAGCTCACCTCAGTCAAAGGCTCAATACTTTGTAAATCTATATAAACTATGAATCAATACTGAATCGATTAATTTAATTTTCTGCTTTTTCCTAGCCAAAGTGCTTAGGTGAGCAATGTTGCCCCTGTGTCTCTCATTTCATTTTATTTCCCTCCTAGAGCTTTTGATAAAAAATCTTCCACTTTTCTACAAAATCCAATTTTGGTTCACTTGAGTTGAATCATTTTTTAAAGCACATGGGACTAAACTTGGTCATAAAATCTCATGGGATTTAGAGACATTGCATGATTTCAACTAAAAGCATACAAACACTTTTTGGTGCCAGTGTTTAATGAGGTTACAATGACAGGTGCACACATCTCTGTCATTACATTGGTTACAAATTTACAATAAATTTTCCAGACATTCTTGGTAAGAAAAAGACAGTACAGTGTATATATTATTCTCCTAGAGCCTATACATTCTATGTGTAAATCAACCTGACCTTGAGAGTAAAATATAATCTATCAATTATGAATGTATAAAATATTTTACAAAGTTAAAACTACATAATTTTATAAATTTTTGAATGTTTTACAGAATAGAATCTTATGCATCAATTTACACAGGAAAAGGAAAAACCTATCAGTAACCTAGATCTAAGATTGTATACATCAAGGAAGCACAGCAATATGTGCATGATGATATTATTTTGTATGGAGCTACATACATACATAGTAACATGCGTACTAGACTAGTACTTGTATGTTAGAAATTGATCATATATTAAAGACTTCATTTGATATAATTTGATATATATATATATGCTTACTGCTGTAGTTGATTCCCAATTGTTATTTATTTTGACCTTGTTTTAAATTTAATATACTGCGATATTGAATTGGCATCTATTTTCTTCCAATCATATAGACAGCAAACTATATCATGACATTGTGAAGTTTCTATTTGAAACTGATATAACTGATTTGAAGTGATTTGAAAGTGCATACCTGTAAGTTTACATACCGCTTTCAACAGTCATGCCTTGGATTTGTGCAATATCAACATTAGACATTTATAAAAGAAAACTGGATCAATTAAGTGTTTACATGATCCTTTCTTATTTTGTATAGTACTCAAACGTCACCCAAAGAAAAATGACCCCAAAAAAAAAAAAAGTTTTTTTTTCCGATTTAGATGGACGGCAAACAATCAATAATTTTATTTTTGGCCTTAGAAATTGATCATATATTAAAGACTTCATTTGATATAATTTGATATATGCTTACTGCGTAGAAAGGATGACCTTGCTGCATTCCTATCTTATCTATAGACAGAACTATATCTGGTGCAGTCAAGTGATTTGAAAGTGTACCTGTAAACATATTTATCAGTGATAACATTCAGGATTAAGGTATCACAGAAAAATTTTTTTAAAAAAAGTTTTTTTTTCCCAGATAAACAATCAATGAAGTTGAACATATTCTTTACATATTCCACAAAATATAAATGCATCTTCAGTTAAACACCTTTGGTTTTTTTTTTTTTTAAAAGTTGTTTACTGCAAAGGCAGAAACATGGCAGGAAATAAATTTATTTGCACACTTGTTCTTTGAATGAAAAAAAAAAACCGACAAAAAAGGAAAAAAAAATAAAGAGACCTGGCACTAATTTGTTAAAGTAAAAACAGCTCTATAATAAATGAAGTATGATATATTGGCATTCTCTTTCGTCTGTATTGATCCCTAGAGAGAACAATATATATTGATGTTATTGGCCTATAATGTGATTCATGTTATATATGTATTTTCAGGCACGAGTAACGAGTCGTACATAACACATCTGGTACATCAGGCTGCACAGCATGGCTATAGGTAAAATGGAGATTCCCTGACACAAGGACTGTTTATTACTTAATTAAGTAATGATAAAGTAAACATTTAGCTTTACAGTGACTTGTTGGCTTATTAATCTTCTAAATACAGAGTTGCTGGCTCCATTATGAAGTAGCTATTTAAAATACTGCATGTTGTTTGGTTGTTTACAGTCTACCAAAATGTATATAAAAGATAAATGTCACACCTGATAATGGCATCCTGATTCAAGCAGAGAGCTGAAATCCTCATCAAGTCTCATTAGATATTTCAATCATACATGTATGACTGTCACTACACTTTGTTTTGTAGGTCTGTTGTATTCCATAACAGAGGAATGAAAACACAGCTGTTGGTAAGTGTTTATCAACATCAGTAATTTTTACAGGCTCATTCTGATCATCAGAAATTTCTGTTTACTTACTAACTTAGGAGACACATTATCTCAGGAGACACATCTCAGTAGACATTAATTATCTCAGAAGGTACTCATTATCTCAAGAGCAAATACTGTACTTTTCGTAGACACACTGACAACAAATTCTAAAGCACTAATCACTTTGTATCAATATACGATATATCATGCTGAAAAGTAACTTCCAATACGTATCGGACAGACATTTTTTCTTCAAATTCTGTTTAAAAGATGGAAATTTCAATCACCAAAGATTATATTTTACTTTTTTGGATTAAAACCTTCAATAATTATATAATTTCTAAGGAAATAATAATTATTACAAATACAAAGAGAAATTTTTTTGAACATGTTGATTTTACTGTCATCAAAAGTTTTAATTGAAGTGTTATTTTTAAAGACAATGAGACAAGAACTTTAAAATGGGTAATAAAACACTAAAGCCAATATATCGCATATCGCTTTAAAAAGTATTGTATCGTATCGTATCGAAATTTTTGGCTCTACAAAAACAGCCCTACACTGGAACAGACCAATGCCTACTGAAACATACATTAGACGTACTTTTTTCCACGGGGTCATAATTCTGCAGAATCTCAGTTTCTATATAATCCGGGGGTAGAAAATTTTCTAGATTGTCACTATATGCCTTACATTTATATTGAGTACGCTCGGACAAATTTCCAAGGAAAATTTGTGATGGCATACATAGCGTACAGTAATATCACGCAGAAAAAAGTACTTCTACTGTAGTTTAATGACAACGACCACAAACTCACAGAAAATTAACAAACATACTTGTTGACTACTACAAAGGTTTTAATATACTGATACATGTACTTCAAGAGGTTGATAAGTAACAATCACAGATTTAAGCTCACAATTTCAAACTGACACAACAATTCCATAGACATACCATACCAATAAATGTTTGATTTATATTTTGATTTTCTTTTTTTGGAGTAAATGTAAAACTTTTGCTAAACCAATGTTCCCTATAACTTTAGACACCTAAGACATACTGTGCAGCCAATGTGGAGGATCTGGCCTATGTGGTAAACTTACTGAAGGAGCGTTTTCCAGAGGCACCATTCATTGGAGCAGGAATTAGTCTGGGAGGGTAAGTTAGACTAGAGATGCCAGTCCAAATGATTATTGGAAAAAATTGGGCATAGCACAAATGTTTTCAAAAAAATCAAAGCAATAATACTTTACTTTTTATATATGAATGACAATATCTTTATATTTCTGTGACAGTGATATAAGATCTTAAATTCATGTTTTATAGAATGATTTTATTTAATTACCTTGCCAAACTCGGGGACCAGTGTAAGCTGGAGGCTGGTATGTGTATATCTGTCGCCTGGAATGTGTTCGAGTCAGTACTGGAGATAGAGAAACCTGGGCTAAACCGACATGTATTGAACCGAACCCTGGCTAAAGGACTGGTTAATCATGTCAAAAGGTGAGAATTTCTGTAGATTTACACTGCTGTATACTGAACTGTTACAACAAATGTTACAATGAATTTGGCTAAAGCAAGCCTATATATAAAAAACAAGCAAAATTGCAGTGATATACAACTTTTGCTTCTTCATGACATTTAGTCAAATTTTCACTGTATAGCACTAATTTCTGAGAATTTCTGTCTTCATTTTAAGCATGAACCCATTATAAGCAGGCCTTACTATTAACATATTCTACCGCATCCCTTTATGGTGTACAGTTAATTCTCGATAAACCGCCACCTTTTGTAATTTAGAAATCATGGCGGTATAATGAATTTGGCGATGATTTGAATTTCCCATATTTTAGGAAACAAGAAGTAGAGTTACCGTTCTTAGAAATACCATAAAGCTTATCTATTCTCATAATTACATGTACATGTATACAAAACATATTTCTAAATTTTAAAATACTTCAAGTATTTTTTATGTACAATTTCTTTAAAACAAAATGTGCTGTTATGAAAAAAAGACATGTACATGTTAAACGGCACGTCTGATATTGAAAAAAAAATTGCTGGGTCGATCGTGTGTTAATATATGAACATTGACAGTACGTAAAATAGTTTCTTGAATAAATTTATTGTTTATGGCATCATTGATCGTGAAACGTTCACAATTTATACCGTATAATCATTTTAAAGCAAACTGCATTTATTGTTTAAAGCAGAGATCATCAAAATAATATCGCATTCGGCGTACTTTCACAACTACCGCTTTTTTAAAAACAAAACAACAGAACAAAATCATTGTAACTGTTCATATTAAAATTATTTTGTTCTTTTAATTTTAATTTAATTATTTAATTGCGTGTACCTTGTCCGGCTTTGCATGCTTTACAACAGGGATAGCGTCAACCAATTAGCCGCAAATGCATTCAGTTTTGACCGCACGCACCTGTGGCGGTATATAAAATTAATTAACACTTAAAAATGGACGTTTGTTTTGAAAACAGGGTGGCGGATGGTGGCATGAACGAATTTGGCGTTATAAAGAGAATTTTATATAGCAGGAAAAACGTTCTTGAGAAATCATGGCGGTATTGTGAAAATGGCGATGAATCGAATGGCGATAATTCGAGAATTGACTGTACATCAATTTTTTCCATCCTTGCAGTAATATGGCTCTTTTTGACAACCAGTTGGAAGATATTGATCATGTTCTGCAGGTATAATTTTACTATTAGGCCTAGGATTATCAAACTTTGTTTGATGCATCTTGGGTAAAAGGTGTGTAGCACACAAAAAGTAGGTAGATTGGCGGTTTTAATTTCACTATGATATAGCCAAATATGGAAAAATTTTCCGGCCCATAATAGAAAACTATAAGACTTACAATCATCAAACTTGGCCAGTTTAAAAACGTTTAAATGGTTATACGAAATTTCAAGGTCACTTTCTTTGATTTAAATGAAATTTTTAAAAAAAAATCGCAATTTTTACTATTCATTTACACATCCCAAATAATGAAATTTGAACACCGTCCTTATTAAAAAAGTGTTAAACAGTATACATGTATTTTTTTAAAGGATTTGACAGCAATTATAACAAACATTTGTATGCAGAAATCCTACCTCTCCCATTCGTGTAATTTGAAGCACGGTTCACAGCTAAGATGAATTTTGATACAGAAAATTGCATGTGAGAGAGAAATTAATAGTTTTGAGTGTGCCACCCTACACAACAAAATCCATCCCTTGAGATTGGGCAAATGTGTGAGTCCTGTGGATTAAAAATAGCTCTTCTCCCCCTCACATGTTTTAAAATGAATTTAATCAAAAGTAATTAAAACTAGGTGAATATTGCATAGTAGACTAATCTTATATTATATCGTGTGTTAACATTATAAAAACATTTTATGGGCTTCTTCTCTGAAACCACATGTCCATATGAATTTTATACCAAATTTGGTATACAAAAAAGCATCTATGGGTCATATGTTTTAAAAAAAGTTATGGTAGATTGCAGACCCATTCATCTATTGGTATTAATGAGTAAACAAGCAACCAGTTAAAGAAATTAATGAAATCTTTAAAACTCTGATCATCTTATGATGACCTGGACATCAAGCAGTCAAACTGTTTGTTGAATGTAATAGCATATGTCATTTGATGGCCAGCCTTTTCTACCAAAATTAATTTGGTATAATTAATTTGGACTAATTTGATATGGTTTAATATGATGGGCATTTGACAAGGTCTAATACAATTATATGAAATCCAAAATGATGTAATATTTATTATAACTAATGCCTACATCACAGGGGATGGATAAATATTTTTAGGAATGGAAAAATCACAGAAATTTAGTACATAGTTATGATAAGCTAAACTGTTGAAGAAAATTGTAATTTTTGATGGGCGTATCATGCTGTGGCGCGGCACTTTATTATCCTTATACATTTTTTTTTAATTCTGCATACTGCAATTTGTTTTGTTGTAATTGTTTTCAAATGATTTAAACATATTTCTGTGGTATTAAACCAATGAACTGTGTGCATGAATTGTTTTATGTTTCAACATCATAAAAATCATGTTCCAAAATTGTGAATTTTACACAAGAAGTCACATGACCCGGAAATGGAGTGTCATAACTGGGGAAGCTAGGCCTTGCTGAAATACCTGATTAAATATTGTTTCTGTGTAGGGCACTTTGAAAATGATTAGATGTTTGAAAATGCATTATTTCTTTGAAAATATTCTTCTTTGCTCCTGGGTATTACCAGGGGTAAATAAACTAACTAAGTGTATAATTATGATGAGCAAGAGTGCTTCTTCCAAAATTGTGAATTTTATGGCCCAAGTGTCAGGGGTTCTAGGGCTAGGGCGGGGCTCTATAGATTAGTGAAAATGCATTATTTCTTTGAAAATATTCTTCTTTGCTCCTGGGTATTGAATAAACTAACTAAGTACATGTACATAGTTATGATGAGCAAAAAAGCCTCTTCCAAAATTGTGAAATTCATGGCCCCTGGGTCAGGGGTTTTAGTGCTGGGGTGAGCTTTATTGATTATATAAGGAAAGATGAAACTCATGTGGAATCATCCTCAGGTAGTGTAGATTCAAGTTTGTTCAAATCATGACCCCCGGGGTTAGCGTGGGGCCAAATGGCCGATCAAAGTTTTACATAGGAATATGTAGGGAAACCTTTTAAAATCTTCTTTTCAAGAACTTAAAAACCATGCTTAGTGATATTTATAGGGAATCATCCTCAGGTAGTGTAGATTCTAGTTTGTTCAAATCATGACCCCCTGGGGGATTAAAATTCAAGCCACCCCCCTAACCTCAGTAAACTTTCAGTTCTGATCCGATATGTGCTTTTTCCTAGCCAATTGCTCAGGTAAGCGATGTGGCTCCTGGGCCTCTTGATCTCTTTGTTACTCTGATCTACCTCTGGGTATTAAGTACTGTAAATCACTTTTTATTCACGAGAACTTTATTTTCGCGTAATTATGCGAGACCGTGTGCTCGCGAAAATTTAATTCTTGCGTATAATAGCATTCCTTAAGATTATATAGAGTACTAACCACAATATTTGCGAAAATTTTCTCGCTAATCAAGAGACGATGACTATCTCACGAAAATAAGGTGTTGCGAAAATTCAGTGATCTACAGTAACTAGAGTAAGCATGCTAATTGGATAAGTATGATAAGCAATGGTGCCTCTTTTAAAATTGTGAATTTCATGGCCTCTGGTTTAAAACATGACTCAAATTCAATTTTCAAAAGTTGTTACATGATACTCAGGTGACCTATAAGGCCCCTGGGCCTCTTGATATCCTTTAATGCACTGACAAAGTAACTTTTCACTGTTATAATTATAAAACAAAATGGTGTTTGGGATTCATGTAGAATCTGTAAGTGATGCTCAGATGTTAAAAAGAAGCCACTTTAGCTAAATGACTAATATAAGCATTAAATGAATATTGACTGTCTACAGAAAATATATCAGTGTCCAATCTCATAGTTGCTGAGGTGTAGCCAAGCCATCTGTGAGATTGATCAACCCAGTATATTTCTGTAGACAGTCAGTAACAAACCTTGTCTAATCCAGAAGTTGTGTATTCTGAAATCTTGCAAAATACAATGTTAACTTAAATCTCAATTGCTTAAAATCTTCTCTAGCTCATTCTTATGAGTATTCAGTATTATTCATTCACAAAGAATAAATGTACTATTAAAGTTCTGATATTTGAATTCCGTATGTTTCTAATTTTAGCAATACCAGCTGAGGAAGCAGAACAGAATGACAATATTGCCATAGTGATCACCTCTCATGGCGGCCATATTGGATTTATGGAGGGGCTGTTACCTCGACATGAAAGTTACATGGACCGGTTATTTTCTCAGTATGTTAAGGCCGTGTTCACTCACGGACAGCAGCACCTTAAACAGGACTAAACTGGATCCTTAAGGATATCAAACCAGATCTACCAATATCTTCATCACTGTGTTCAGATCTAAGTCAGTTTTTTTTGGGTTGTTTCTGTAATATTGTCTCACACTTTAGGGTACATGTATGTATATTGCACATATTCTTTTTCTTTGAGCATATAATCTTATCTTAAAGAATAAGGGATATTCCATTTAAAACTCTGAGGGGGATGCAATTAGTCATTGAATTTTTTTCTGTGCGGGAGGGGGTATTGCTAATTTCCATATTCTGAATAAAGTTAATTTCTGTTAAGAGAGGGGGGTCAATCTAGATTTGATCTACATGTACTTAGGCCATAATAAATAAATTGGGGTCTGCATACCATAATGAAGTCTAATAAAACAAACCTCTCTCTCTTTTTTGAGAAGGGGATGCCTGCTAAGGCACATGCTTGTTTGACTCAAACAAAAAAATGCTAACCCCTTTATAAACCATTGTCGTAATAAGAAGCAGATGATCTAGTAACAAAATTAGTGCATACCATATATACTCGCCTATAAGTCGGTCCGCCTATAAGTCGGTTGTATTTTTTGATGTTATTTTGGTGGTATTTGCCATTGACCCGCTTATAAGTCGGTACATTTTTTTGCCAAAATCGGATGACTATTTCAAGGTAATCCATTAATGTTTTAACCCGGTTTCAATTGATAAACTAGTATTTTTTTTTAATGAGACTGATATTGAATCATTAAACAAACAATAATGAATTCTAGATAAAATAAATTATTAAATATGTATACTTGTTCTTTATAATATAAGAAAACATCAATTATCATATATATAAACATTTTCTAATAAGATAATCGTCGCAAAAAATGCATATATAATTTATTAATTTTCAGCGTCTTATAAAAATACCAATCTCTATTTTGAACTAAAGGGGGGGGGGCCTATAAGTCAGACATAGAGTTTAAGACCAAAATTTAACTCCCCAAAAACTGACTTACAGGTGAGTATATATGGTATATAATTTATTTAAAAACATAAATTTTCTTATAATAATCCTTATTCAGAATTTCCATAAGAATTGCAAACAAAAACTGTGGGACATTAAAAAGCTAAAAAGGTGTACCTTTCTGCAAAACCCTGATGGGGATTTACACCCGCCAAAAAAACCCGCTATAGTAACTGATAGTTTAAGTGACTATAACTGAGGTATTTCCCTGTTCCTAGGTCTTGAGAACAAATCTGCTTTCTACAACAAATTTCATATGTGTATTCTGACCTACAAAAGAATTTTGAAGCTAGAAACTTGCCAAAAAACTTTTTATTTGTGATATTTGCGAAGCTTCATGAACAAACAGTAGCATCTGTATAAATGTGCAACATAAGATTTTTAAGCGTAGTATCTGTTAAGGTTTAACCTTTAATTCCCTGTACAGGGTATCACTGAGAAGGATAAGGATCAAATAACGGTCTTTCCATAGTCGCTCTTAAAGTTTAGGACACATCTGTCTGTTTGCAGGAATGTTTTCGAGAGAGAAAAATAGTCCTACATTTTAATTTAAAACACTTCATGCTAAGAACCTACTATCATATGTAAAACAAAACACACATTCACAAATGTTTTTTTATATACCTTTTGTTGTTCTTATCTCGAGATTTGATGGAACAAACACCAGTTCATTCTAAATCAGTGATTAAACATTCTACGCATTTAATAAATTATGTACAATATTGATGTTTTATGTTAGTAATTTTGTTAACGTTATACAATTTTATATGAAATTTGCTTCATTGAGAGTTCACTTGTACAACTTTTTGACTCCCATTTTACCTAAAACAATCATTTGGCTGTTCTATTCTAAATACATTTCTATATTTATATATTAAGATACAGTTCCTTTTCTTTTCCTAACATGTTCTACTGCTGAAGTTGAGGAGATTGTATTCTAGTAAGCTGATAAAGATCTGTTTGTTCAATAAAATACAAATAGGCATGAAACAAAGTTATATACATGCATATTAATTTTTGATTTTGTCAAAATACTTCTCATAGATATTAATAGTGACTATTAAAACATTTAAAGTCTTTTATTTATGAGTCCTACAGTTTTGGTTTCATTTCATTAAATGGATACATGTAATTATCTCAAACTACTACTTTTGAATCTTTGGAACAGTCTCTTTATAATAAAATCAATGCTGTTACTTTTTACTGGCAATTCAGTTGGAAATATCATAATCACATTTCACTGGTCTATATCATGTTTATATATCAATAGAGCTGATCAGAGGCATCCTGAACACATGCACTCAGGGCAATATTTTATAGTTTGATAGTTTTGTTTGATTTAATTAGTAGTTAATCATTGAATGGATCAATTAATAATATTTGCAATCACTGTATAAATGGCAACCACATGAACAAAGTTTTGTGTAGATCTTCCAAGAAATCCAATGGGCTTCTAAAAGAAATGGGGTGTTCCAGTACATGTATGGACACTCACTTATGTATGGACACTCAGTTATGTTCCTGTTTTTTCCCAATTTTAAACCTATTTTGGCTTGCCTGAGCCAAAGATATTTGAGCTTTTTGATTGAAATTTGTTCTTCATTCATATTTCTGTTGCCCCATAGTTCAAACTCAAAGGTCAAGAGGTCAAATGTGCTGATACCCAAAAAGAAAGGTCTTGCTAAAAAGAATTTACTTATGGATTATGAAAGTCCTGGCTCTAACCAATCAAAAGTTGTGACTGTTAGTTAAAGATGGTCAAAGCAAAAACTACAGCCCCCACTCCTTCATCAATGGGGTTATTAAAAGAACAGTAAAATAAATCTTATTAATAATATATTTACATGTATCATTCCTAGTTTTTAGATGTTCAATTTATCTATATCAACTTGGAAGAGAAGGTTTAGGGTCATTTTTTTCATGGGCATTGAAATTTTTCAAAAGAAATAGTGATATACAAAAGATGAACTAGAAACCAAGCACCCTTACATGCATTATTTGACTTGGATTCAGTACTGTATACTGGCCTTTAGAGCCAGGTGAGCATGTTGACCCATAGCTCTTTTGTATTGTTTAGTAATATTTATAAATGATATCTAATCAAGAAAAATTATTGTTGTGCTTGAAAAAAAGATTTACATAACCAGAATTATGCCGTCAATTGATTTGTTGGTTAAAAGTCTCATTTTTATACATATGCAAGCAACAGAAAAATGATGCCAGAATATCCTCATGCAGTAACTGTTGATTAGATAATTGTTTTTACTGTGTTATATAATTACAATCACTAGATTTTGTTACTTATGCTTTGTATAAGTTTATATTTATGTTGCTCTGTTGCATTCTGTGATACAATTCTAATGACTTTCACTTTTTATATCTTGCCAAATTTATTTATAATAAATGATAATTTTAAAATGCAAAAAAAAAATTCTTTATTGATCACTATATCAAAGTGAAATTTAAGGAATACTGTGAAACATACCCATAATGAGATGCTACAAACAGCTTTTTCTGCTTGGTCATAAGCATCATGATTTTCTTTTATCAACTAGGCTGTGATATATTTTTAAGTCTTAATGAAAATCACTCTTTTATAAGCAATAATTCATATATGTGTTTAGCTCGTGTTGCCCATTCAAATTTTGTGCTTATGTGGAAAAAAAAGAAACTTGCAAGACCAAGAATAACATTTATTTTAAAGACAAATATATATTTCATACAAAACTTTTTTAAAACACTTTGCACACAAACCATACAAAAATTAATTCCTTTACCAGAAAACACTTTGTCACCATACTACAATTACTCAAATAAAACCCCACAGAATGTTAATGTTTCTGAGTGGTGTAAATCCCACAGCCAGGGTAGGGGGGTTAACTATTGGCACAAACGTTTGCAGGATTATATATATATCAGCAGAAACAGAACACTAAGATGGTGTCTGATTAAGTACAAATAGAGGCAGTGATGGTAGAAAAGAAGCATGGAGTTTGTATATGTATAGAACAGCAGAAAACATGGTGTGGACTACCCATAGGTTGGCTGGACTGACATACAATTTAGAAATGTCACTGTGTTTATGATGAATGTGAAAGGCTTATTCAAATTTAAAAAGAAAATAATGCCTACTTATGTACAATGCTTACAAGAAGTAGTCTTCACTCATTCTTATTCCAATCAATCAGTTACTCAGTATGGAAATTTAAAAACATGCTGTGTATATATAAATACAGACATATCAATAAAAGGAAAAGTACAAAGAATAGACTTACATAACGATCCAAATACAGTATATATAACCTGTGGTTAACAATAATGAGGTCATCTAGGGTGAAGGTCACCCCAAAAACGTGTATATTGCTTCTTGTACATAAAAAGCAGTTTAAATAATGTAAAATAAGCAAGTATAAAATGTTAATAAATCACAATTAACTACTCAAAAATCTTTTAAATTATCACAGTTTCACAATATTTAGTTAAATATAATTCAGCAGTTTGTGGTAAATATTAGGCTATTTTAATATCCATCAATAACAGACCATTTCACTCCCCAACTTCCGTTTCCGCTGACCACCAAAAAACTGGTGCTCGAGTTTCTGCATTTTGACCCCTAACTCGGTCTTGACCTTGTTTCCATAGTTACCGGAGTTGGTATTGGGGACTGCATTGGAGAACACGGTCACGTTTTCCGGGAGTTCCTCTCGTGGTTTAGGATTTCCCTAAAAATCAATAAAATATACATTAATTCTTCTATAATTTTTTACCCAATGAAGTCAATTTATAAACAGCTTAATGGATTAAAAAACATGATTTAAAAAAGATTTTCCTCTTTTGTCTCTGATGTGTGATTTAAATTTACGTTTAACAAGTTGGCAATCGGTTTTAATCCGATATTATTGAAATCAAATACAAGTCTTTTATTTAAACACAATTATTATGTTAATACAATGCATGTAAAATCTTAAAGAAATAAGTTAATTAACTGTTTGTATTAATTATTGGTAGATTTTTGGCATGAATAGCTACACCAACTTCTAATATTTCAAATCTGTCAATTTTTCACCAGCTGTTTAAACCAAACAAAGCGCCATATCATCCCAAACAGATTAACCAAATGAACCCAAATAAATCATCTAAGCATTGTTAAGCATAATATTAGTATAGTTTAAATTTGAAGTTTTACATTTTCCCACTCTTATTCAGTTTTATTACAACAAAATAAAAAAAAAAAAACGTTATGTTTAAAGTTTTAAACTTGCTGTTTCAATAGGTCATGCGATTAAGACTACATATGTATATTAAGTCAACTACCTGCAAAGCTGAAGACAAACAGTATTTGGTTCATCCTAAATATATTGAAGACATGTGAGAAACATTTCAAGACCGTAGGTTTCAAAGGGGACCCCCCCCCCCCAAAAAAAAATCAGACAATCAAAAAAATTGTCAGCGCTCGGCCAGGAACAGAATCTTAAGGACATTTCACTGTAACAGAGGACTTTACGCGAGAAACCCCCCCCCCCCTCGACGTATGAGCTTGCATTTCTTCCGCTAAATGTTGGTTAAAAGTTATTTCTTTCACAATTACTATGGAATGGTGATCAGCTAATCTGCGAGTTCCGTGTTTAATGCGTTTGTCACAACAATTTGCAATCGTTATATATCTAACACCATTTAATAACACTTTATTTACCAAAGAAAAACCAACCTTGTTTCTCTGTAATAAAGAGTTCTATTAATAAGAATGACAAAATTCTACACTGATACCGATAAAATATTTGTTTTCTGTATTTACACCCCAACCCACCATTAAACAAATTAAATGTACCTTAGAATCGAACTCGGTCAGGAAGCCCCAATTTTCTTCCCTGAAAAGGAAAATCGACATCAGATATAATTTTATAGTATTTTATTTATAAAATGTAATAAATAATAAAATATAAATAATACGAAATATTCAATTTTTAGTGAATATTTAAACTGTACATCCATGTACGTAAGGTTAAAAGAAAGACACTCTGTATTAGCATTAACTATTTCTTCAAAGAAAAATAAACGAGGCAGTATATTTCATTTATATTTCTTGAGGTTTTATACACTTAGTGTTTTTATTATGATACTTGATTAAAAGTCCGAATTAATAAAGTTAAAAAAAATATATAAATAAAGTGTAGACATTTGGGACACATTATTACATAAATTATGTTCATTTGCTCGGAAAAATGTTGATAAGATTTATTTTTACCAGTTTTTAAGGCACATGCCCTCTTTGCCGACGCTCTGTTTCCAGATCCGGTCCTGGGTGACGGAGTCGCAGTTGGAGTAGTCTCCCTCTTTGAACTGTTTCTCCGTCGTCTGCGTGGTCTGTTGGCGCCTTTCTGGTGGTATACATTTCTCATGGTACTGGCTGGTGAAACCATTTGGAAAAAAGCAAAGAATCTGATAATTTTTAGATACAGATTTCCACAGCATAATTTAATTCTAGCTTTGGAAGAAAGTAATGGTGCAGGAATGAGGATAATTTCTATCAGTTCTATAAATCAGAAACAACAAACGGATCTCAGGTAAATTGAAATGACGTGCAGTGACGTTCCTGACAAATCCTTATTGCCGTATAAATCAAACTACACAAAACAATTTGTGCAAAAAATCGGTTGCCGTTGATCTTCAACTTCCAGGAATCTCTTTGAATTCTAAAATTAGATCTTGGCCTCGGAAGTCGATTGATTGATTTGCTATAAAACCGTGACTGTATTAGCCAGTCATCCTGAAATGTGGAAACTGCAACATGATCCAAATTTTACTTTAACTCTCGATTGTAACTATGGAGACGTTTCTGTTACGTCAATCTAAACCATTAGCTATAGTATGGTACGTTTTAAGAATGATTTATTTGTCCTTTACTTTTTGCATCAAACTGGATTGCCATACAAACTTTCTGATCCAAAAATGAAATTAAAATTGTAGTGCTTTTAGCTTTACTAAAATAAAAACAAAACAACTATGACGTCACAAACGAATTTGAGGTCTATTGTGACGTTTCAAAATGAATGAATCAAAATGAAATTTTCCCGTAACTTCGGGCAAACCAAAAAAAATAAATAAATAAAACAAATAAATAAATGAAACAAATAAATTGATAATAAAAATATATATATATATATACCGGTATATATTTAAAAAAAAAACTTTCAAAAGTTTTAACTTAAGTTTATAACATTTCTTGATTTGTTTTCAAAATGTATCCTCCGGAATTAATCATTGTATTACATTAATTTAAGGGGGTGAGGATTTTTATTTAAGAAAAAATTAAAAAGGATAAAGGACATTTTTTAAAATTCTATTTTTTTCATATTGTTATTTTTAAAATAATATTTGATTGGTCAAATTACATAGTAAAGCGGCATAGAAAAGTTAAAAATTACACCGTAAACGTCATTTGTCATTCTAATTTGAGATAGCTATTTTATAGGCACCTTATTTTTACTATAACTTGACCTTAATGATTTAGATTTTGCAATATGAAACTCAAGTTTGATTTAAAAAATCATTTATGATTCTATATTGTTTAATTCTTTCTACAGATTTATTTTATCCACTGTTTTTGATACTGAGGTTCTAAGCAGGTGTCCATGTAATCGATAACATAGTATCTGCATTTGTCTCTGTAAATGACAAAAAGTTAACCTTAGAACCAAATATACAAACTTAACACCAAGGTATATAAAAAATCCAGCCACCAAACGTAAAATCCAAGGTTGGGGAAAAAAATTCGTCTTTCACAAACAAAACACACCTTTTGATATGCTTTCGCATTTTACACCAAACTTTCTCGGGGTACAACAAAAAATGCAAAATGAAAAAGCAGGTGATTTATTTTTCTTTGCAAATTCTTTTTAGAAAAAATCACATCCTCTACGCCCCTTCACCACTCGTCAAAACCATTGTTACCTTTTTATTCGGTACATTTCGGTGTCTGGTGGCGATCCGTTTTTAGACATATTAGCAATTTTTATATCTATCTGAGTTTTAGATCCCTAAGATTTTATGCTGTTAGAAACTTCACAAACTGAAATAAAGGCAAATCAAAATTAAAGATTTCGATGCTGATAAACCAACAAAAAGGTTTCTGCCAAAAGATCCTAAAATGCAATGTATATCAATAAAGTTCTTTTATGATTTCAGTCCCTTAAACATGTTTTAGACCTATTTGCTGCGTAACGTTACAGTTCGATTTAACTAATTCAAGACAGACGTATATACCTTGGCTTTGTTCTGCTGTAATATGAGAAGACTATTCCTCCAAACTGACCACTCATCTTGTAAAATAATCCCTGAGCTCGCGACAGTAGAGTATCTTTTACAGTAAAAAGTCTACACACTGATATTACTTATAATCCAGTAATCACTACTATCAGATGAGTACTTCCCGATTTAGGAGTCATTGACAGTCATTTTTCCCCGCTTAGCTACCGAGCTGTTTATTATTGCCCTATATTGGCTCTATACAGTGTCATAACTCTCGGTCTTTATTGACACAGGCGACAACAATTGTGTCCCGGCGATTCGTGTCTTTATAGAATGGTTCTGGAAGCTGGCATAGAGCGATTTACCCTAAATGGTGGTATTTAATGATTATTTTTGTTTTAATTAGAAAGTAGAGAAAGTTAATGCTTAATATGTAGTTTTGTTCCGATATTATAGAATCGACTCTGTCTTAATTTCATCGGAACGAATTCATTATCGGTTTCACATGTATGAAAGTTTATACATGTTTTTATTGTACTAGAATTTTCTTGTAAACCTATTTTGACAAAATAAAAAGAAACAGAGGTTTCTTAATTTGTAACTTTCGTCAAAATCACACAAAAATCGACACTGTCCGCACTAATACCAAACACCATTCGGATAAATCTCGGGTTGTGACGATTTCCCCTGACACCTGCCGGTACAGGTACAGACAGATCGATAACACAGGTACATCAATGTGTGTGAAACTGTTTACACTGATTTTTAAATGATCAATTGTTCTCTGCAATAAAAATGTAAAAGAAGAAGCTTCATGCAGTTTAATTGAATTTCTAAAGCTATTCATTGCAATGTACAATTTTTGCACGTTTGCTGAGTAATTCCCATTAATCCCAATTTAAATTTCGATCAAGCTTTCATTGCTCCAAAAAAAGTTTTTTTTAATGTTAACTATTATACGGCGGAATAATTCCAAGTTCTCTTAATAAGTTTGCGCTAACATTAAATTATAAAAATCTTACAAAGTCATGTTCACGGGAACATTATATCACTTTCCACGATAACATGAGTATTTATTTTTTTCTTCATTGGTCTAAAAATAAATCGAGAACCATTAATACAATTGATTATAAAAAGTTATTTTCAGGTTAGTATTCTTAATAGAAAGGGGTAAAGAAATTCCTTTTTTGTTCATTGTACCTTGCTTTCTTCACTGAGTTTGACCAGACTTCAACAGATAGAAATAACTTGACAATGTCAAAGTTCGCATACCGGTATATTTCTTTATATTTATCAAGAAAACAATTTTTGCTGGTACGCTTTTTTTAGTCAGTACGATGATTTATCTAACTTCGAAGTACAATATTCGATCACCTCGACCTCCGCACTCGTGAATATTGTACTAAGGGTAGAAAAGTCATCATATTGACCCTAGCTCTTTACGACAATTATCATTGCAACATAAAAATTACAGAATTAAGTACATTGTAGTAGCTAAAGATGAAAAAAGTACCTTTTTACATAAGAAAATGGCATATCCTATTTAAATTAGATACATGGATATTTCTCACCCGCTTTTCCAAAAAACCGTTCAGTATGTAAACTCATGGCTTAAGAGAAACTTTTTGCTTTTGCTCTATAGTTAACAGAGAAAGGCGGAGAATGGTCGCATCCTGACCATTATATGGCGAATTAGACACGTAATATAAAGCAAACAACACTGTTTGGATCAAGGTAACTCTATAAATAATAAAAATAATTCTTTATTAATTTATAAAGAAATCTGGACGACGCCTAAGTTATTTAATACAATGTAAACTGTCTCTGGGTTTTATAATTCACGATATATATGAAAAATTAATGGATAATTTAAAAGAAAAACTTCAACCTTCACCTCTCTCTCTTACACACACAGAACGGGACATGTCTCTCACTCTTTTTCTCTCTCATTAAATGATTAATATTATATACTCTTCAAAAAAAGAAACGCATCGTAGAATTTTAGTGACACATTGAACATAAAGATTATTTAGTAAAATGATGCATTGATAAAATAGAAATGTGGTAAGCAACAGGAATACTATCTAAATGTCATAATTACTCAACAATTTTAAAATTATGGTCAGTTTAAGACCATTAAAGATCAATATCTGGTATGCCCCCCGCAGACACAAATGATAGCCACAAACGGCATCTAATGGAAGCAAATGCATGTAATAAAAACTGTATAGGAATACTCTCTCACTCCAAATGTAGAACTTTAGTAAGCTGTTGCTGAGTCTGGGGATGCGATTGTCTTTGGCAAATCATGTCAATCCATTTTGTCCAATGCTGCTTAATTTGGATTAAATCTAGCGATTTAGATGACTGTGACTGAAACAGGTTGTTGTTTCTTTGCAAGAATAGGTGTGTCAAACGAGCCATATGTGGCTGTGTATTGTGAGATTGCAATACGGCTCTAGGATGCTGCAAAATTGAATGGGTATGTGTAGGTAGAACATGGTTAGAGGACCTTTTTCCATCAAAGTCCATCGAATTCAAACCACATCAATCTTACTTTCTTATAATACCATTTTCCATATCATTACACTACCACCACCAACTTTTTTAACGTCCTGGAGGCAGTTATCAATCTAACCTTCATTAAAAAGCATTAACACTCTTAAACTTAGAAGAGGCTTTCAGATAAACATTCTGGACTAGTAGGTTAACCAAAATGTTCAGCAGTGATGCTGTGGTCATACTCTATTCATCTGAGATCTTTGAAGTCGATATTAGGGGTGTTGTGGGGTCGGAACAATGGCATGAATAATCCTCTAGCAATAATTCGTAGTCAACTGAAAACGGTCTTGTTAGATGATCTGTGCAGTTCAGGGATTGCTAATGCTTTAGATGACGTCCTTACATTACATTCATGCAATTTGCGTAATCCTCGGAAGTGATGCTGTGCTGCTGATGTCACACGTAGTCTACCATATTTTTTGCGAACATTGGGTGTTCGATGGTAATGGTTTATGTTTAATAGGTTAGATATGGTCTATGTGTAACATTAAAACCTCTTGCAACTGTAGATTACGGGTACCCCTGCTTCCAGTCGCCCACTTTCCCTTTTGTGCCACGCAACATTCAGATGCAGCAATTTTAGGAAGCGTCATTTTTCAGACAAAACCAGATTCAAAATATCGAGAACCCCCGCTTTTGATAGCCCCTTTTTACCTGAAGGAATTGCATCGGATTTCATCAAATGAAAATTGAGATCAAAATTTTGGGGAAAAGTTTGCAAAATCAGGTCTTTTTGTCTGTGAGACTTTTAGAATAGCTGTAAAGTTAACAATTGCATTAAAAAATCATTCATTTCACTCGAATACATCGTATTCATACAAAAATAAAAGATATGACAAAACTATCAAAAATTTTCAGGGCATTGTTCCTACTATGCGTTTCTTTTTTTGAAGAGTATATTTAACTTCGAGAAGACCACAATCAATAGAGAAAATATAAATATCCCCTCTTTGGTTGCGTTGGATTGCAAAGTCCATATAAAGACAGTGTATAGTGCGCATGATGATCGATCCCATGCAGGCCTTCGGGAATTAACACGGGGATTAACGTCCCTACAGGAGATTTAGCT